AAAATTGGGCTTGTGTAAACATTTCTGGTTGCTATTGCAAAAGGAAAACAACTGTTCCGAAAGTTGTGTACATGTAAGGAAAACTAATGACCCCCTGGGGCAGGGCCAATTTTAACCCAAAGGCTTTTATTTGAACAAACTAAGTTGCCAATCATTTGAAGCTGTTTCATACTCTAGCTCTTTGGCTTTTTTTTTTTTAAAGAAGATTTTTAAGTATTTACTATATACGTATAAGGAAAATCAATAACCTCCTTGGGCATGGTCAATTTTGACACCAGGGCTTTTATTTGAGAAAACATGAAAGATACCCATAAGAAGATTGTTCATGCTTTATATCTAACCTGTAGCTCTTTGGGTTTTTTAAATAAAGATGTTTTTTGGTTTTTACTTTTATTTTATATCTAACCTTGAGCTCTTTGGATTTTTACAATGAAAATGTTTTTTTGGTGTTTACTAATATATAATAAGGAAAATCATTGACCCCCTGGGGCTGTGCCAAATTGACCCAATGGCTTTTAAAAAGAAGACTTTTTAAGTTTATACTATATACATATAAGGAAAATCAACAACCCCGGGGCGGATCTAATTTTTACACTGGGCTTTTAGTTTGAACAAAATTTGGTAGACACTCACTAGAAGATGTTCCACACCAAATATCTTAGCTCTAGCTCCTCTTGGGTTTTTTAAAAGAAGATTTTTTTTCCATGGCAACCAGAGCTCTGCATGGAATAAAATTCTTTGAACAATTTTAAAGGTGACCATCAAAAGAACAATCCTTTGAAATTTAGATGAAATTGGCTTAGTCGTTCACAGATGGACAAAGAACGGAGGATGAACGCCGGATGAAAAGAAATCACAAAAGCTCACCATGTCACTTTGTGACATGTGAGCATAAAAAGAGACATTACAGTTTTAAATCATAATTACTTCAGTCAGTATGCCGATTAAGTCCAACAGTGATGTCAATGCATCAAATTTGTGCAAAAACGATCTGATCCAGGTTTACAGAATTAATATAAATTTTCAAATTTGTCAACAACAATGTTAGGTCAATGTCATAATTGACAAACCAGTATACTCACATTGCAACAATTATTGTGCTGAGAAAGACGGAAGGGAAATAACTAACTCTTAGAAAACTGTCTAGCAATAACACCGTAGGGAACGTGTTACAGTATCGCCTTTTTCGGTTACAGTATAGAATTTTCAAGATGGAGGATTATTTATGGGAAGAGGTGCAGGTGATTTTTATTCAGGTCCATACTACTAGTAATTTAGTTTCTAAAAGTTGTTTTTGTGCTTTTCTTGTAAGGAACAGAATCCGGTATCTAGTCATATATTTCTTCAGAACCTGCCCGCAGATTTTATCTTTATATTGTCTCATAAATGTGCAGATTTGACCCAGTTTGAAAATTTTTGAATCGAGAGACCCAACGCATTTTTTCCTCATTCCGACATTTTTTTAAGCGTGCCTAGATAAAGTAAATCTACATAACGTTAGTTCCTTTGTGTTTAGAAACGTTTATAAAAATAAATGACCATTTGAAAAACCTATTTTCCTGTTGTTAAAATGCGTTGGGGAAAAAATAAACAATGTTACAGTATAAAGAGCGTAGGTTAATTTTTGAAAGGGTTACAAGGCATAGACCTTAGCGACTTTGATACAATTTTTTACAGTTTATACCAGATTTTCGGTACAGTTTAGATACTAATTTCAAACACAGTTCGTGTTCCAATAAAACCTTTCTAGAAAGGTTGTATTAAGCAAAAAAAGTTTTATTTTTGCTATTTTCCTTACTTAAGTTTCAGATTGAGACTTTTGCAGAATAAGTAAATGTTCTAAGTAAGGACTGTTTTTCAAACGAACAACAGGAACATTTATCGATTGAAAAAGAAGAAAGATTATTGCCTTGATTTCATTACACATTATAATAATGCCTATTAGTAATAAAATAGAGAAAAAGAATCCTTAACAGTCCAACACGGAAAACATGAAAAATGTTGCATTTGATTAACCTGTTCATGGACGGTAGTGGTAACTGCAAGCTACGCCTCCTAGCGCCGGCTTCAGCAGAATTCACATTAAACATGAACTGGTACACTTTAGATTTTTTAACATCTGTGGATGTGTTCATATGGCGGTTATCATGGAACCTTCAATGTGACACGTTATTGCCATTCTATGAAAAGCGGCATATCACTCCCAGGTAAAAAATTTCGGGTGCCCTAAACGAGAATACAATGAGTGAAACTAAATAAAATGAAATGTTGAGAGAGGATCGCAGGTTATGAAGCCTACATACCATAGATAAAGCTGTCAAAAGACACAATTAACAAGCAGGCAATACCCTAAGAATGATTAAACAGTGAGCAATATTTCAACCTTAAATTTTATTTTAAGTTGGAATTTCCATCTACCATAATGTATTTTGTATGTATTTAAAAGGATTTGTTACGTTTGGCTTTCTTGGATTTTAAGTTTCAACGACACTGAGGTCATGTGAAAACATTCCTGCTTTAGTGTAAAGAAAGACCCCAGAATCCCTTTGTGAAACATTTCAGACCCGAGTATGCACCTGACTAGAACCACCGACCTTCCGTAAATTAGCTTGATAGATTCATCACATACAAAGAATCCAAAGTCATGATTGGATTTCAACTACAGCAGTAAATGAAAGATAATTTGAAGTCGACGGCCTTATGCCGACCCTGCCACTATTATGTACCTTCATCAGGCTCAATAGAGAAGATATTGTAATTGTCTGACCTTAATTTATACTGTATAACTTTCAATATTATTTTCTTTTTCAAAAACATGAAAACTGCTATACAGAATGTCTGAAATAAGAAAAAACGACTTTTAATTTAATAATGACAAAATAATCGTAAATTCAACAAAGAAGCATTCGAAATGACGCCATGATCATGATTTGATTTGAATGCTTTAGGTTCGAAAATGAAGGGTCTTTAAACATTGCCTTTTTTCAAAATATATAATTTGGGTTTTCGTATCTCCGATTGCAACCGAAACCATTTGAACAACTAATTGGTAGAAAGTCATGTAAATTTCATCACATTTAGTCAAGTAGTTACTGAACGGATGAGATTGAACACACATGTGTACGACAGACGGACGAATAGCAATCGGGCTAATAAGCTCACAGAGATTTAAAAGTCTATGTAACATTCATACATTTTACCTAGAATATATAGAAAATATCGAAGTCTAAACTGTAACCGAAATATGAGTATAAACTGTAACAAAATCGGATAGAAATCGCTAGGTCTATGCTGTAACCCTGCACAAATCACCTCGCTCTATACTGTAACATTGTTTATTTTTTCAAACGCAATTAACGAACAGGAAAATAGGTTCAACTGATCATTTACTTTTATAAATGTTTCCTAACATAAAGGACTAACGTTTTGCAGATTTACTTTTTCTAGGCATCCATAAATAATGTCGAAATTGGAGAAAAATGTATTGGTCTCTCGATTCAAATTTTCAAACTGTCAAATCTGCATATTTATGAGACAATATATCGATAAATTTGGGGTGCAGAGTCTGAAGAAATATATGACTAGATACCGGATTCTGTTCCTTACAAGCATAGCACAAACATCTTTAAGAAACTAAACTACTTGTAATATGGAACGGAATAAAAATCACCTACCTGTCCTCCCAACAAATAATCCTCCATCTTGAAAATTCTATGCTGTAACCGAAAAAGGCGATACTGTAACACGTTCCCTACGGTGAATAACTTAATAGCAAGTTCTTGCTACAGCATTAACAGTTACCCTGGAGCCAGATTTTCTCATCTGTTCCTGCAGTATATGATTCTTGCAGTATCTTTGAAACTGTGTATTCAAACTGGCCTTCTGAGCTTTTATTGTTTATTGGAACACAATTCTGTGTTGTAATAAACTAAGTATTTCAATAATTTTATCTTGGAAAAGTGCATCATATCACTGTAAAGCCTTCTTCAAAACAAAATAAAATGATAATTTGAATCTTTCATCAATATAACAAGAGCCCGGTTTGAGCCGGGTGATGCTCCCCGAATAGGTTTAGGTACAGGAAAGTACACCTCATGTAGTTTCAGAGTTATGTCCCTGGAAAAAGTTCAAAGTGCAATAATTCCAAAATTAGGCAAAAACAGAGTTATGTTCTTTGCACTGCAATTCTAATTAATGTGATCTATCAACCTACAAAGTTTCTTGATGATATCTCTTATGATTTCCAAGTTATGTTCCGGACAACTTCAAAAAGTAAAAATAAACAAAGGGCAATAACTCCAGAATTAGGCAAAGCAGAGTTATGATTCTTGTGCACTGCACATCTACCCATTGAGATCTATCTACAAAGTTTCATGTTGATAGCTCTTATAGTTTTACTGCTATGTCCTGGACAAGATTTTTCTAAAAGGGGAGATAATTCAAAAATGAGGCTTAACAGAGTTATCGTTCTTTTGCAATGCACCTCTACTCAATGAGATCTATCTACCTACAATGTTTAATCTTGATATCTCTTATACTTTTAGAGTTATGTCCTGGACAAAGTTAAAAGTGTTAAAATTAACAAAGGGCAATAACTCCAAAATTAGGACAAAAAGAGTTATTGTTCTCATGCACTGCACATCTACCTATTGAGATCTATTCACCTACAAAGTTTCATGTTGATATCTCTTATAGTTTTAGAGTTATGCCCTGGACAAGATTTTTCTATAAGGGGAGATCATTCAAAAACTGGTCAAAATAAGAGTTATGGTTTTTTGACAATGCACTCCCCCTCAATGCCCTCTACCACTGTTTGAAGTTTCAACAAATTATCTCCAAGGGTTTTCAAGTTATGCTCCGGACAAGACAACGGACGGACAGGCGGACAGACGGACAAGGCGTTGACTATATGCTCCCCCCCCCCCCCCCCCCGAAAAATTTCGGGGAGCATAACAAAGGTATAAAAACTTTAATCCATTCATATGTAGTCAAGTATTTACCTGAAAACAAGGTCTGGAGTATTTGGTGTTTCCTCACAATGTACTTTCTTTTCCTCCTCACAAAATTGTTCCTTCACATTATTCCCTGCAACTTCCTCAAAAGTTGTCTGTTCAACTCCAATGCACCCTTCATATTCTGTGTTAACCATTGTCTGTTCTTTCTTCACAACTTCACCATCAGAAACTGGTTGACCAACTTCTGATTTTTGTTCAATCACAGAGGAAGAAGATTTTTCATTAGAATAAGAAAAACTAAAATAACAATGTAAATTCTCCTACAATATGAACATTGATGATAAATTATTTGCACTAAGTCTATTTCCTTAAATAATGGCCACTACCTTTATCATAGAAAGTGCTAAGTGTTAAGAGGATCTGAGATATGTCTTCATTTTCTATTAACTACAGCAATGACAAAATCAAAGCAAACCTGAAATTCCTACTTACTTTTTACTTTCTACTCTCTAACAATACCAACCTGTTTTTCAACAAGTTACTGCTACTATTTTCTCAAAGACAGACATGTGCCACACCAAGCTAGAACTTGAGCTCCTCTGAGGTGGGCAACATAGTACACTCATTGGCAAATTTGAAAGAAGGTACCAAGGACAAAAATAATTAATATGGCATAATTTTGTCAGTGATAAATTGATGGATACATACATAACATACATGCATGCCAAATTGAAACGAAGTCACTAAAATCCTACAAAAGTTATCCTGCTGGGTTATAACAATTACTTGAATAACTAAAATGAAAATAACTTAAGTTTTACCTGTTGAATAATCTGCTGTTGTTGGCACCACAGCAACCCTCTCATTGTCAGTTTGTATCTCTTCCTCATTTATCTAAACATAAAAATAACAGAAAATATAAGACGTCCTTTATAATATAATTCAAGTATTTTTTCCAGAACATTATCCAACAGGACCACAAGATGAAAATCTCAATGATAAAGTGAGGACATATTCAATGATAAAATGATAAAGTGAGGACATTCTTAATGATAAAGTGAGGACATATTCAATGATAAAATGATAAAGTAAGGACATTCTTAATGATAAAGTGAGGACATATTCAATGATAAAATGATAAAGTGAGGACATTCTTAATGATAAAATGAGGACATAGTTAATGATAAAATAAGTGAGGACATTCTTAACTAGAACTATCGCTGATTGCGATTCATATCCCCACCAATGTCCTTGACAGAAGACGACTTGGAAAGGTGGTTAAGGGAATAACTTAAGTTGCACAAATACATAAAAAGAAATTATCTCTGGTGAAAAAAAGACTAATTGTACAGGTAATTGTATACATATCTATTATCAAATCATGTTCAAAACAGTTTCAAATAACCTTTCATTTTCCCAATATACAGTGTACTTTACTTTTTATAAGTCAATTTTTGACCTTCAAGTGTGGCCCTGACCTTAAGTTGGCACAAGGGTAAGATGGGTTCTGCACATCGCCCAATTGGGGTGAACATTTGAGTAAAGTTTGAAGAAAATCCTTCCATTAGTATAGAATTTATAGAGCGGACACAACATATTGTCTAGTATTGATTGTATGTAAATTAAAAGACTTAAAAAGGGACATAACTTTGTCAAAATGCAATACAGAGTATGAAACTTGACCTGCATATCGTAATTGTGACACCTCATTTATCTTTTAGGTTTCAAGCAAATACCTGTGCTAGTTTCAGAAATATTCAAGGACATGTTAAAATTAAAGAACGTTTTCTTAGTCAATTTTTGACCTTCAAGTGTGACATTGACCTTAAGCCTGCACAAAGGTGACATGAATTCTGCACATAACCTTGTTTAGGTGAACATTTGAGTAAAGTTTGAAGAAAATTCTTCCATTAGTATAGGATTTATAGAGCAGACACGACATATTATCTAATATGTAATTGTATGTAAATTTGAAGATTAAAAAGGGGCATAACTTTGTTAAAATGCAATACAGAGTTATGAAACTTGACCAGCATATCTTAATTGTGACACTTCATATATATTTTAAGTTTCAAGCAAATACCTTTCCTAGATTTAGAAATATTCAGATATATGTTAAAACTTAAGATCATTTTTCTAAGTCAATTTTTGACCTTCAAATGTGACCTTGACCTTAAGCCGGCAAAAGGGTGACATGGGTTCTGCACATTACCTTGCTGAGGTGAACATTTGAGCCAAGTTTGAAGAAAATCCTTCAATTAGTGTAGGACTTACAGAGCGGACATGACATATTGTGTAATATTTGACTGTTTGATATTTGACCTTCACTTGTGACCTTGACCTTAAGCTGACACATGGGCAACATGGGTTCTGCACATCCCCTTGTTGAGATGAACATTTGAGCCAAGATTGAAGAAAATCTTTCAATTAGTGTAGGACTTATAGAGCGGACACGACATACTGTCTAAAATTTGATTGTTTGATAATTGACCTTCAATTGTGACCTTGACCTTGAGCTGACACATAGGCAATATAAGTTCTGCACATCCCCTTGTTTAGATGAACATTTGAGCCAAGTTTAAAGAAAATCTTTCAATTAGTGTAGGAGTTACAGAGCGGACACGACCTACTGTTTAATATTTGATTGTGTTTGATATTTGACCTTCAATTTTGACCTTGACCTTGAGCTGACACATGGGCAACATAGGTTCTGCACATCCCCGTGTTGATGTGAACATTTGAGCCAAGTTTGAAGAAAATCCTTCAAGTGGTATAGGAGTTATAGAGCGGACACGAAAATGGAGACGGACGGACGGATGGACCGACCAACTCGACAAAGCGAAACCATTATAGCCCCCCCCCCATTTTGTGGTGGGGGTATAATGATAAGTATAGGACACACCCACACCACCCTTACCCCTCCTTTGAGTATGTACCAATAATGCAGGTTTTTTTAAGGATTTTGAAAACATGACCCATACCCATGGAATTGGGAATTTTAGCGGTGTTTTGTTAAGAATTGGGAAAAAATGCATGACTGAAATTTTACAATGATTAAATGGATGCAAACAATAAATGTCCATGATGGCATCTTCAAACATTTTAAGGACTATTACAGTGAAGGAGCCCTGATTTTCAAAGATTTTAGAATTGTTATTCAATATTTTTATTTTGTTACTTTCAATTGGTAAGTTTTTTCCTGTGGATTGGCAAAATAATATACTATTTTCAATTGGGAATATGACCCAATAACGGCTATAAAATAAGCCAAAAAAAATCCCTGTAATGACAGTTCCCATCCATATTACTAGAGCGCATACTAAACTATTCTCAGTGCTTAATAGATAAAATGAGGCATAAGATTGTTTAAACCTCCTCCAGGTTGAGGTTATGATGGTGAATAAGTGTGAAAAAATCTAAAAGGTGTCAATAATGTCAATGTACTTTAAAATTATCTGCTGTGGTACGCAAACTTTAAACATAAATTCTTATTCCAAAAAGGGGTATAATTCCATCTAAACATTTGATACTTGTGTACATGTTTGGCCCATGCAAGTGAAAAAGTGTACAAAGTTTCAAAGTCAAATGTCAATGGAATTTGAAAATATTTAAGGTGGTACAAACATTAATGTAAAAGTTGAAAAAGGGGCATTTTTCTGTCAAAATGCTTGATACAGTGACCTCCTGTGTACAGGTTGGTTAACATGTGTGTTAAGTTTCAAAGCTATATGTCAATGGACTTTGAAAATATTTAAGGTGGTAAGCAAACTTTGACATAAGTGGTTATGCCGACCCCGACTCTCAGGTGACTAGGATAGCTTTACTTATTCTTCAAATTATAAGTCCAGCTAAAAAGTATTCATTGGAATCCAAGACTTGATTCCTTATTTCACCTCTCTCCCCTTCCTTAATACCATTGTTTGTTGGGAGTAAGCCCGAAGGCCATACAAATAAGAATACAAGTCAGTGACTCAGTCTGCTTGACTTTTAATATAGTTTAGATGTTGTTGTTGTTTATTTCAATGCCTGATTTTTCTTTCTGTTTTAAAGGCATCACTAAAATATACACACATTATTTGCAAAGTACATGTAGAAGATTACAGCTGGATTTTTTAAAGAAATTAAATACATTTGGTAAAAAATATACCACTATGCATATTTTCACTGATAATAATTAGTCTTGTCAGATAAAAAAGTATTCAGGTATGAAATGCATTGTTCATTGCAACCCTTTTTTTGGCAGCATTTCACACCGACACTAAATGATAAAGAAGAGGAAAAACAGAGTTGAAAATGAAGATACTGAACTAAATATAAACACAAAAATACTATCATGTGAAAGTGTCATTGTAATGATCATAATGTTGTGTATGTTTCAACTACATTAGTTAATATATGCAAATTTTTGTGAAAATAAATTCATCATGAATTAAAACTTACCACAGTGCCACTTTGTTCCTCTGATGATGATGGGAAGTCAGGGAAAATTTTTCTGAAATCACAAAAAATATGGTCCTCAAACTGCATTTCATGTATTTACGATTCCTGACGACAAAAAAGTTTACTTTCAGCATAATTCAGTCCTTCCTGGAGAAAGTGATCAAGTATGTTAAAGTTCTAAGAATTCAACTATCAGGCTTAACAGTACGGCGGAGTAGCAGAGTGATTAAAACACCGAACTAGTAATCAAAAGATCACTAGCTGTGTTGGTTTAAATCCCGTCAGGGGCAAGCCCTTGTTTCCTTGAGCAAGAAACTTTACACTCATTGAGTAGTTGGTTCCATGAACAGATTCTTAAGTTTGCATATAAGCTTATAGCTTTTAACACAAACTAAAATAAATTTTATATAAACAAACTATCATTCTTCATAGCATTACAAATGTTACCTAATTTTACGAAATGACATACTCGTGCAATTATTTAACCTTCAGCTTTATGACCACCAACTTAATTTCAAGTGAGAACAAACATAAATTAAATGTCAATTAAAACTAGAACGGTTTTTGTCAAAAAAACATATGTCTCCAAAACTATGGATGGTCACTCATGTGAAGTTTCATTGAAATCCCATCAGTAGTTTGACTTGTGAAGGCCGGACAAGATTTTATATTTATAGCTCTGACGGCCATTTTGTGCAGCAAAGCGGAACATGCCCCTGATGTGCACAACTAGGTACTGATCACTTCTGTAAAGTTTGGTTGAAATCCCACCAGCAGTTTGACCTGTGAAGGCCGGACAAGATTTTTCTACTTTAAGCTCTGGCAGCCATTTTGTGCAGCAAAGCGGATTGTGCCATTGATGTGCATTACTAGGGATGGTACTGATCACTCCTTTTAAGTTTGGTTGAAATCCCGCCATTAGTTTGACCTGTGAAGGCCAGACAAGATTTTTCTATTTTGAGCTCTGGTGGCCATTTTGAGCAGCCAAGCGGAACGTGCTGGTATTGTGAACAACTAGGGATAGTACTGATCACTTTTGTGAAGTTTGGTTGAAATCCCACCAGTAGTTTGACCTGTGTCAGGCTGGACAAGATTTTTCTATGTTTAGCTCTGGCGGCAATATTGTGCAGCCAAGCAGAACGTGCCGGTATTGTACTAGGGATGGTACTGATCACTCCTGTGAAGTTTGGTTGAAATCCCACCAGTAGTTTGACATGTGAAGGCCGGACAAGATTTTTCTATTTTAAGCTCTGGCAGCCATTTTATGCGAGATTGAACATGTTGGTGATGTGCACAACTAGGGATGGTAATAATTGATCACTCCTATGAAGTTTGATTGAAATCCCACCGGTAGTTTGACCTGTGAAGGGCGGACAAGCTAAATGTGGACAGACGTACGGAAGCTCTAACAGGACAGTAATAATGTGGCTAATCTATTGTTCTCTGTATTGTTCTTTTTAGCCACACAAAAGAAAATAGCCACATAAAAGCATAACGGAATGAAATGCATCAAAGAGAAAGAACAGTTACCTTAAATTGTCCCTATAGCCACATTATTACTGTCCCGTGAGAGCTGACGGACAACCGGATATATTTACAAAATGATCTTTTTGGCCATTTTTAGTCGCACAAGGCTTATCCTTTTCCCTTATATAGAAATGTTTTGACGACTTCCCCCCATTGCCATGGTAACAGGAAATTTATGATTGAGCATGCTGTTACAGAGGCTATGGCCTTAGTCAACATTTGTGCCAAGTTTCATCAGTATTGAACTTGTAACAGGAGGCTTTTCAATGAAAACAGTCATTTTTCACAATATGCTCATGGGGTAAAAGGTTAAAAAAAGACACACAAGTAAAAACGGAATGAATAGGATCAAAGAGAATTTACTGTTATACCCATTGTTTTCCAAGTCGGACCGACAGACTGACGGACAGAGGGCATAGGCAAAAACAATATGTCTCCCAAAAATTTTGGAGACATAATGAATTTTGTTGAACAAAATTTTTAATCATTGATGATAACCTATTTACAACTTACATCTAAGTGACATTTTTCAAGCTGAGTTGTTTCCCCTTTACAAATGTTTATTGATTAGCTGATACATATAGATTTATTGGAGCTAATACAGTGCTGTAATTTATATATTTAAGTACCTTCTTAAGTAATCAAAGTGCCTATGATTTAAAGCAAAATTATCAACCTAACCTGAATCTATATTGATTCTCAGGTATTAACCTTCAAATTTAAATGTCATATTTTACATGTAGTGACCTTGACATTACCATAGCCAATGTCATAAGTAAACTGAAAGTTTATCCAAATAAATATGTTATAGTACTTGAGTAAATTTCAACAGACACTTCCAATAGTCTTCAAGAAAAAACAATACATTTTTACTTACTTTTCAAGCTTGTGATCCGACATTCTGTCAAACTTTTGCTTCTGTTAAATGTGACCTTCTTAAGTGCGGTGTACCTATAAAAAAGGCCTGAAGTGAAACTAACAATCGACAGTTACTTAATAAGCGCGCGAACATTTGAATAAAGATAAATATTGATAAAGAACCCTCATAAATTGTAAACGCTCAAGTAACATATTATATTACAAGTTACAACTCCCTACTTGAAATACCATTCATAAAACAATAACTTTATGCAAGCCTGGTCATTTTGTTTTTTGTATGTTAAAAAACATTACTCGAGTTAAAGTTTGAAATGATATTACCATTCACAAGTCAAAGCCACAGTTTAAACTGGCATGCAGTTATGATTGTATTGAAAATATAAATACTACATTATGTTTAAATATTAAGTATGCCCTAGATACTGATAAGGGCAGTATTTATAATATCAAATTACAAATTTGGTTAAGTGACTTAACGGACCAGTGACTTATGGTCAAAATCTAATTAGTAACAAGCAAATTCGTTGAATTTATATCCCCTGACGAGTACTGGTTATTATTAACACAACAACTGAAGACATAAGGCTTTATTTATATATTAATCATGTTAAAATGTCTGACCGGAACAAGGCGACAATATGTGCATCTCCTCTTGGTATTGAAGGTTCCAATAAAGTTTCAATGAATTCCAGCCAGTAGTTGCAGAGAAGTAGCGAGGAAACAAATATTTTTCTATATGCATACTGCATAACAAATCAAGGGCCATAACTCTGAGTTAAAGTGTCTGACCCCAACAAAACAATGATATGCGCATCTTCTCTTGGTATTGAAGGTTTCCATAAAGTTTCATTGAATTCCAGCCAGTAGTTGCAGAGAAGTAGTGCGGAAACAATTTTTACTCTACTGGTATATGCATACTACATGTACATAACTAATCAAGGGCCATAACTCTGAGTTAAAGTGTCTGACCGGAACAAGGCGACGATATGTGCATCTCCTCTTGGTATTGAAGGTTCCCATAAAGTTTCATTGAATTCCAGCCAGTAGTTGCAGAGAAGTAGCGCAGAAACAATTTTTTCTCTATATGCATACTTCTTAACTAATCGAGGGCCATAACTCTGAGTTAAAGTGTCTGACACGAAAAAGCCGATGATATGCGCATCTCCTCTTGGTATTGAAGGTTCCCATAAAGTTTCATTGAATTCCTGCCAGTAGTTGCAGAGAAGTAGTGCGGAAACAATTTTTACTCTATATGCATACTACATAACTAATCAAGGGCCATAACTCTGAGTTAAAGGGTCTGACCGGAACAAGCCGACTATATGCGCATCTCCTCTTGATATTAATGATTCCCATAAAGTTTCGTTGAATTCCAGCCAGTAGTTGCAGAGAACTAGTCCGGAAACGAAATTCGGAAGGACAGATGGACGGACGGAAGAACGGACGGATGGACAAGGCCAAAACTATATCCCCCTCAAACTACAGCTGCCATAGAAGTGACAAATACACCTATCATCTCTATGACACAGGATTTTGATAAAGGTTCTTTTGTCATTATCTTTTAAGGTGCAAATTTGAGCCTGCAGCATGGGTTCCTCACATCAGTCATTCTTGATATGAAAATTTGAGCCCTGAGATTGAAGAAAAATCCTTCTAAGGTGTAGGATTTATAGAGCAGATGTAAAATACAATATCATGCGGCATGCCCGGGTTCTGTACATGGTCTTGTTGAGGTTAATATTAAGTGAGCCAAGTCTGAACAAAGTCATCAAGGGGTATAGGATTCATTAAGTGATATAGTCTGATATTTGACCCGAGTATAACCTAGTGCATGAGTGGCATGGGTTAAGCATATCCATCTTATTAGGGTTGACATTTGAGCAAAATTTGTAGAATATACTTCAAAGGGTATATGAATTATATAGTTGTTGGACTGAATGGGGAGTGTGCAAGACAGAATTATCTAGCACCGGTGTAAACAGTAGATAATACTGTCTGATATGCAATAAACCTTCTAACACAACAGCGATTACACAGTTGTTCAAGAAATTTATGCTGTTTTGTAATTTTTTAATGTCCCAGATACGTTATTATGTATTAAAGTTAATAAGTTTAGTATATCCATACTTTTGATAGAAATACTGTAGAGGTGCAACGATACCTTTCGATGCATCGAAAACCGGTTTTATGAGCGCCGATTCGATTCCCGATACCAACTGTAACATTTTCGATTCGATTCCCCACCCAAAAATAAACATGGAAAAAAGTGAGAGTTTTAGTCTTTCCCTTCGCGCTTTATCACGTTACATACGATTGGCCAGTTAAAACTCGGTCATCCAATCAGTGGGCGCGTAATGTTTTATTTTCGGCAAACAAGTCAAAATGGCTACCAACATCAATGTTGATAAAATAAAATTAAAAAATCCTCCTAAAAAATTAAAATCAAAGGTTTGGGAACACTTTGGGTTTCGGCACTTTCGGGAAGGCCAAGACACGGATAAAGCTACTTGCAAAATATGCTTTACGGACGTGTCATATCCAAAGTCCGACAGTACGTCTAATTTAATGCAACATATGAAACGAAAACACGATGTGGACTTGTTTGGTCAGCTTTATCCGTGTCCTGGCCTTCCCGAAATAAGTTTGATTAGTACTACAGTAAGTAGGCATATTTGACATTGGGATTGATTATTATTTCTTTAGTCAAGTGTGAAAAAAAGTATTAATTTCATGAATTTCATTTTTTCTGTATTGTTTACTAGACTAAGAAGTATTGTGTGACAAGTCACAACACTGACATTAGGATTGATTATTCATTTACATATTATGGGAATTATAAACAGAATATCTGAATATCAGTTTTGACAACCTTGTGAAACTTTGTTCATTATTATTTACTTTACAATTTACATACTTTGTTAAATTCCTAGTCAGCAGAAGGTATCTGTGATAGTCATGTAGTTGAGATGAATGATTATTTTCCTGATTAAAATTATTTCTAAATAGACAAGAGCATTTTATTCACATTAACACAATTATTAAGTCAAATAAGTTTATATAATAGTTATATTACAACAGAAAAGCAAAGCACTAGGTTGAAGGCCACTCACTTTTTGAGCAGACAAGCAGAATTGTATACCAAAGATAAATTAGTAATCAGAAATGTATCGAATCGAAAAAAATCGAATCGGAGTGTCTAAAATCGAAATCGAATCGAATCGAACATTTGGTGTATCGTTGCAGCCCTAAAATACTGTGCCAACGGTTTAAACACCAAAAAATATGCCATATAACTAGAAAATGTTTTTTAAATAGCTTACACCAACTGTCATTTTGCCCTGTCCTTAGTAATGGTGGTATATATATTATTTCAATATGTTTTGACAACAGTTAATAAAATTTCCAAGAAAACTTTTTTATCAGTCACTAAAATAGACCTACATGTATCTTGTATATATTATTAAAAGAGGGAAAAAGTCCTGGGTCCAGTTCAAAACCTTACAACACCGTTACTAAACAGTATTATTTACTTCCTTAACTGTTATTAAATGTTGTTTTCAACTTTTGTAATGTTAACTATGTTCCAGCTATAATGTTGTGTTTTTGGGATTTAATACCACCAAATTTTGATTAGAATTGTTTAAATAACCTTAAATGTTACCAAAATTACTTAGTTGAGCATCATTATAGCGTATCATACAGTTTCCATTGAGAAAAAACAAAAACGTGCTAAGAATTTCCATGACCAAATTTTAGAGGCATTGTGATGTAATTGTTACTTTCCTATAATGAATCATAATGATTTTCAACGCTTACAAGAAGATGGGTTAACAGTTGTTGTTTTTTTTTTCAAATTGATATAAATATTAAAAAAAATATTTTTTTAAAAGAACATCATTTTAACTTCCATTATACTGTTAACTTTTGTGACATTTTTGGTTAATGCCAATTTAATTTATTCCTACCTTTGCTATGATGATGATTAAATTTAAAAGATTGTTAAAATACTCTAAGTTGATTGTTTAAATCGAACCCAGCATACATTGAACAAGGGAAGAAAGACAGGGCCAATTTTGGTAGAGGATTTATAGACGATATTATTTACCAAATATCAAAGCTCTAATCAAAGCTCTAATATAAGCCTTGTTACTTCAGAAAAGATTAATTTTTTAAGTTTTTACTAGAAGTACAAGATGAAAATTAATGATTACCTCCCATGATTACCTCCAACCCCCACCCCAGGCAGAATTCAATTGTGACCCAAGGGCTATAATTTGAATTTGCTTAGTCCAATATATCAGATGTTACAGGGTTGTTATAGTTCAAGTCCGTCAAGTCTGACATTGCTTAGTCCAAATATTTAGATGTAACCGCGGATTTGATGCTATTTTTTACATGGGTCAAATGCGCTTTCGCATTTTCAAATAAATGTCAAACTGTAAAAAAAAGAAAATGCGATGTCTTTCAATGAAGGACTAGACATTGTTTTGCCCAGAAGCAAAAATATCTCAAAGCGACGTCATATTTATAGGACTAATATTATGCTCAATAAACAAACAAAGTTTAAAAGAAATATCTTTATTATTTTTGTAGAAATATAATTTTATTTATATTTTTTATGTGAGCCTGATCGGGCATAATCTGATAATAATTTTTCACTAGCCTGATCAAATAAAGGACACAAAGAAAATTAAAGGATGACTGTGGGCGCCTTGCTTAATGCGTATGCATTCCTATATGGTCCCATATAAAAATGTTGTATATATGTATGTATGAACACCTGTGTATAAGAGATCCCTCTATGTAATTTTCAGCTAATTTTTGTAATAAAATATGTTTGTTTTCATGATGATGTGTATTTATTCAATAAAAACTGTTTTAGTATATTTTTCAAAATTAATTTACATAATTGACAAATGAAATATAACATGCCAAAAAAGATTCTATAGACAGTTTGAAAATAGGAATCATTATTTAACTGTGGTGGATCGTTATTTAACTGGGGCGAATCGTTATGTGGCGTATAATTACTGGTGCGAATCGTTACTGTAATTACTATAATTACCCAATAGACAATCAACATCGTATAATTCAGTACATGTTTTACTTATAAAGTGCTACCTATTTAATAGATGGAACTATATTCCGCGAAATATAGCGTAAATCCTGAATACATTGTTGTTATAGGCCTATAGTTCTCTAATGAAGGAATAAGAAAGAAAGATAACTCTCGCTACGGTCAGAGGACCCTAATTTATTTTCTGATGAATATCTAATAATTTTAAACATTACTTTAAATATATATCACAAAGTGAATATCTACAGAAATTATTGCACAATTCAGACAGGGCTTTCTTCTCTCCATTTCGCTGTTTAAAAATGGCTCTGTCTTGTGGCTATCAATCGCGATCTATCAAGTGCTAGGTACAAGGACACTAAATCTGTATGGGTATTTCCTTCCTTGGTCTGCTATATTAAATTGAACGGAATCAAAAAATATTTTATTTAGTGACCATAGCGACAAATAGCCACTTGCAAATTGAATGGTACTGATGAGCAATCCATTCTGATATTATCGTAAGTCGTAAACATATAGCTTAATTCATACAGCCCATTGAATATAAAATTGGCTACATTAATTTATGTTATTATATCAATATTTACTAAGATTTTTTTAAATGGCTGTAAAAATGGACTGTGTTTTGCTTTTGATGATAACCACGAATCATAGCACATAGCCCCATGTAAAAACTGAAATGAATTCAGTAATGGACAATATATATTGTCTCTTTCGGGGATCCACGTATGGACCCATGAAAAATTTAAAATACTTTTAAGTAGTAAAACATATAACATAAATGCAGTCAGTTATTGTTAAGTAACGTTCAATGCCTGCTACAAACAGTTTAATGCCCTACAACATACCATCCTGATCCAGGTAGTTGTAACTTTTGAAGAGTTGGTTCTTTTCCGGACTAAGCAACAAGTTTGTTTGGGTTTAAAGGTATATCATCACAATTTTGATCACACCAAACCTCATTTTTATGCAGGCTAATGACAGTTTTCCAAGTATATAACCTCACAGAAAGTTTTTTTCTCCAAATAAATTAATATGTTTAAACAAGTAACTGCCAGATTTTCCACAATAAAAATAGCTTTTATATTAAATTTTATGCAATTGCCGTTTATTCTAATATAAAACTCTACTGTATTTATACTGGAAACTGCAAAATCATTATATTTCTGAAGGAACTTCCAAGATTTTTCATATAAATTACTTTCAAATTGCAGTGCTAGTTCATTGGCATAGAAGACAGTGAAAATCACCACTGATAAATATATATTTGCTAAGTCTCTCAAACAGCAGGTGTCTAAGATCTAGTCCAAATTAAACAGTATCACGCTAGTTTACTTTAATAAGAAAATGGATTCTTTAGCAGATATCTTATTTTTAACTTGTGTTAATAGATTAATCTATAATACAGAAGTTTAAATCACATTCAAAACTGTCATTTTACTCCAATGCACAAGCATTTTGCAAGAATCCCCCATTTTTTTATTGTGGCAAAGAAACAAGCACACTGACACTGTGGTGTATGTACGGCAGGAAAGTAAAAATCTTGGCACATTTCCCCTAGAATCAACTAGGGACAGGGGTAACAGTGGCATCATGTTACAATTGACTTGTCAATAATAAAATGTTTCAATTGAATCAAATAATAACCTTCAATTCCTTAAGTTTAACTTAGACAATACACTGGAATAACAAAACCATTCCAAAACCAAGGATGTAAAATAAACAAAGAAAACAATATAATTTATTTCAAAAGTATATTACACTGTATTTAACACACCATTTTTTGTATAATAGTAAAAACGTTTTTTCATGATAGTAAAAATGTTTTTTCATGACAATAATTCTTTTTGTTGAATTATTATGAATAATTTGAATTTTATCCATGCTAGTATTTTTGTAATAAAGCTTCACCAAACATAGTTGTCTCCCTTATAGGTTTTTTTTTAATACTAGTACAGTCGACTCTCGTTATCTCGAAGTCTAAAAATATATCAAAATAGGGAAATATCGAGATAAACGTATAAGGTTTGAACAAGGCAGTAACTGATTTTTACAAAGGCATGTGCATATCTTAAGTGAAATAAATTAAAAGTATAATATCTCTATGTCCCAAAGTCGATATTTAACAAATTACATGAGCAGATGTTAACAAGCGGAAATACGGGAGTCTGTGATAAAAACACTAAGTGAGGTTTACTCAGTAATACACCACTATAGTTTAAACGTTTTAAGCGTGGTCCATCCAGATATCCTCCAGGACCATTCTCCAGATAGTTGTACCGCTGTTTGATATTGTTTTTTGATGTTGTAAAACAATATTGCAACGATAATGTTTCTATATTGAACACTTTTTCATTTACATGTAAAGTCACAATGAATTTAATACAGTGTTCGAATATTTGATAAATAGCGGAAGATTCACTCATTTTGAACATAAGTCAATCAATACGTTAATTAGGTAAACTTTTATAAACAAAGCTTGACTTGTTACAAACATAGTTATCATTATAACACATGCTATTAAGTGATTATCGTCTGGTTTGTGTTTTTCACACCTCTGTGGGAAGAGACTAAAAATTATTAGTGAATATAAAGAAAGGATTATAGCGTGAAAATTACTGTTGGGACTGAAATTTTACTTCGAGATACTGAAAATATCGAAATAAAAATATCGAGATAAACAAATATTTCCAATAAACTTAGGGAAGGAAGGAAACCAGACTTTCAAAATTTCATCAAGATAACGAAATATCGAGAAAAGCGATGTCGAGATAACGATAGTTGACTGTATTCTCTTGTTCTACATGTATTTCTTTTTTCAAAAGTACAGTATTTATTACATTTCATTTATTTATTAATTCATTTTTTCTATGTACTTTTATAACTTGTATACTAATAGATACTTATAAAATATCTAGAAAAACAACAATGCAAAGTTATGATAGCACTTTAAACATTAATGAACAAGCATTTGATAGTATTGCGGGCAATACAGTAGTCCCCTACCGGTCCCTCAAAAAGTTCTTTAATTGTCATACACTCCTGTCTATTGCCATTTATAATGAATTTGAGGATGAAGTCTGTATTTGAAAATATCGACCACAAAACATAAAATAAGTTTGTCTATATCAGAGTAATGTGTTAAGTTTCCATGCTTAGTAAGGAAATTATGTTTATACAACCTTGTCATATTATTACGATGTGGGATTTTAAAGTAAATCCTATAAGGAATGAAGAAGTTGGAGTGAAAATACCAGTTTCTCGAAAAAAATCTAAGTTCAAGGGGGACATAATTCTGGAAATAGTCTTGCTAGAGTATTTAACCTTCTCAAAAATGTCGAGTGATAATAAGAAACATATATATGAAGTTTGAAGTAGATACATTAGGAAATAAAGAAGTTATTTAAAAAAGACAACATTTTTTCCCCTAAAAAATCTAAGTTCAAGGGAGGTAATACTGATATTTTTTGTGCTAGAGTTATAAACCTTGTCACATATGATGTGGTTGATGACCAGAAACTTATATTTAAAGTTTGAAGTAAACACCTTAAGAAATAAAGAACATATAGTGAAAAAGCTGAAAAATTTAAATAAGAAATCTTGAAATTCAGGCTATTTGTTGCCATAGCAACCAGAATTTTAATATAGGAAGAAAAGAAAAAGATGTGCATAATCTCCAGACTGCCATCTACCCATATTTCAAGTTTCATAAAAATATTTTCAGTACTTTTTGAGTTATCACTGGATCCATTTTATGTGTTAAATTTGCCATATTTTCAGACTATTTGTTGCCATAGCAACCAGAATTTTCAACATAGAAAGAAAAAAAAAAGACGTGCATAATCTCCATACTGCCATCTATCCATATATCAAGTTTCATAAAAATATTTTCAGTACTTTTTGCGTTATCGCGGGATCCAGTTTTGTGGACGGACGGACTGACGGACTGACAGACAGACAGACGGACAGACAGACAGACAGACGGACGGACGGAGGGTAAACCTAAAGTCCCCTCCGGTTAAACCGGTAGGGGACTAATAAGTATGTTAGCATTGTGCATTTTCAATAAATGTTATATTAGATATTGTTTATGTCCACAACTTAACTTGTGGCACTCTTAATATGGCAAAATGGTGATTAAATTTGGCGTATGATTCACACCTGCAGTAGCAAAACATTACCTTTAATTTCACAAGTGTGCTCTTCAAAACAGATTTCATTTCATTAAATCTTAAAAGTATATAAAATATATCCACTGAAATAATTTTTTGAAATCTATAAACAGAAGGAAAACAATAATGTTGTTTTCATGTTGTTATGGTCGTTTCTCAAAAGAATTTCATCATAGAATATCTCTGTAGTTTAAAACACATGGATATTGTACATTAAAATAATAAAATATTCCAGAACAAAATATTATGCCACTATCTTAAGTAGGGTTTTGCCAATTTAACAATAGCTTATAGCATCTGCCATTCTCACCCTTAAAAAATTTTTTCAAACATATTTATTTCAAACAGGTACCTCAGAAGCACTCTTTCAAAATTCAACAATAGTTTGGTAAAGTATATAGCTTTATTCACTTAAACATAAATAAATGTCCTTTCTCTATATACATCATTTTCATACAATAAAAATTATTGTCATACAATAAATAAAATCCAAAATAGAAAACTTAACAATTATTCAATACTGTAATTCAAATTGCTGAGTACCAATTAATGGACATAGTATTGAATTCTAGTGTTATTAAAGTGAGATTCAACATTATTACACTAACATTAAACAGCTAACAGTATTGAGTAAGGTCAGACAGTATAGTCACAGTATGGTCAGACTAGTAGAATGAAAACAGGTGTGTCAGTTATCAGTAAATGAGATGAAATTTTGACTGTATAAAAGCATGTAGCTAACTAAAAGATGACAAACATTTCAATGATTTCATCAAATGAAACAATATATTAAAACAAATATGTACAATAAACTCAATTAGATAAAAGCCGAGTAATTACAGATACCTACATGATAAGAAATCTACTTAATTTTAAATATATATTTATTTTTTAACACAAATCCAATTCATTTATAAATACATAAACACATAAACAACAATCATTCTAAAGGTCACACTCACTTTGATTTTTTGACCTTTATATATATGATTGTAAAATTAGCCAAAAATCTTCAAAATAACCTTATTTCATAGAAATAAGGTATACCCTACAACCCTAACATATAACACAAATAAAAATAACTTTCTCACAATAATGATACCTCTAAAAATCACAAGGCTTAGCTGTAATAATTTTTGTCTGTATCAATACAGAAAGAAATCGCAGTTTAAAAAAATGTTACATTTCATTCCATAACAGTTCATTGTCTTTCCTTTTTTAATTACATCAGCATTGACTATATTAACTTTCCATCATAAACTGGTGGAGAAATTATCAAAATGTCCTTCATGCATTATTTTATGCATAAACTGCATTAGAACAAATAACCTTGAAGTGCATTATTTAATGTACAAACACAGACAGAAACTGTAGACTAGAACAAACAACTTTCTTTAACTTGCGAATTTCATAATCGCGAGACAGACTGTGACTTAAAAACAACTAAAGCATTCTGCCACAAAGACAACATTTACATATATCATCTAAATTCAAAATTAAAACTAACTGCTTAGGTTATTATCTACTATTTAATGCTAATTATCTACTATTTAATGCTTTGTTTGTTTTATGGTTTTTTTTGTTGTTTGGGTTTTACTTCCAAGACATTTTAGGTCATATGGTGACTTTCCAGCTTTACTGGAGGAGGAAGACCTCAGATGCCTTTCCATGCATTATTTCAGGTACAAACGGGAACCCAAGTAGAACCCCCAACGTTCCCTAAGCTAGATGGACAGCTTCTTTGTTCACAAAGAATACAAAATCCCTGTCGAGATTTTAACCCACAGTAAGGCGCAAATGATTTGAAGTCAACGACCTTAACCACTCCACCATGAATGCCTCATTTTAATGCCTAGTTAAAGAATTATTAAACCTTGTTCAACCACATAAGAGTTTGAGGACCAAATATTAAAGTGGGCTCTCATACAGATCAAATGAAAATCTGTACAGATTCTAGAAGCACCAGTTATGTTACGGCCTAGCTGGCTTATTCCATCTCAAGTAAATGGTTAGCCAAGGAAAACAGAATGACTGATCATAACTGAAATAATGTTTTATTTGGTGCTTAGCCAATTAACTATTATGTGTCAATTATGTCCCTACATGCTGTTGTTCTGCCCCTGCAGAACTTTCTCTTTCAATTTATTCTTTAACTTTTCCTTTTTTGTCACAAGAATTTCACCTTCAGTATTGGCCAACTCTAAGCTACAAAGATTAGGCATGGCTAGTGCAGGGACATCTAGCTCTTGTACTTCATTATCAGCGGGTGGAATTGAAATTTGAGATTGTGGCCTTAGAGCTTGATTAAAGTCTTTCTCGTTATTTATTGGCAAGGCTTGACCTGTTGCACCTGATGATGTACTTGCTGCTTTCTCCATCTGATTCTTTAAATATATTTCAAATAGTTTTCCAAAAGTAACTTGACCGCTGGTAACTAAATTCAAAATCTTTTGTTGACCACTAACTGTGTTCTGCTGACTTTCAACAATATTAACCATTGCCTCTTGAACATTTGAATCCTGGACTGCAGTACAACTCTGAGCCCGACTATTGCTTTTTAAAGACAGTCTACTTAAGCTGGGTAAGTTGCCATCACCAATGTTGTTCTCGTCTGTTTCTCTCGGATAATGGTTTGTTATCATGTCATATGTTTCATCCCCTTGTATAGATTCTTTGCCTGAAACACTCAAAACTGAGGGGCATCTTGTACGATATTCAGTCATGTTGGTATCTACTTCTGTCTTCGCTGGACCACTTTCAATTATAGACAGCTCTTCATCATCCACTTCCACAACTTCTTCTTCTACACTGCGATCATCACCTAGATGCGGAATGTTCTCTGATTTACCCTTCATTGATAAATCTAACGGTTTTTCTACAGTTAAGATCTAAAGGCTGATCGATGACGTCTCCATAGATATTTGGAGCAGACATTGTTCCCATTGTAGCATCATGGAATTGATGACTACCAACATTGTTGCCTACATTGTCATAGGTAGTTGCTGAAGGCTGTGTAAGAGCAACTGCCGACACAGCCCCTGTTTGATTACGGTGAAAATTAAGACATGTCACTTCATCTGGAGGCCTGTCAATTGATCCCTCTGAGAAAATGTCATTTCCCGTGTTTTGGACATTCTGCACTTGCAAAGTGTCGACTCTCTTAAAATCTGTACCTGATTTCATTGGCACTAAATTTAGCTGCAACTGAAGCATGTTTCCTTCTTCATCAACAATGGCTTTGTCTAATGCTTCTCTAATTGGCAAGTCCATAATCCAGTTGGGGTATGGGGAAGGTCTTTGGATAAGCCTAAAGCTAGATTCCACCTTTCCAGGACTGTTTTTCTTTGCTCCAACATTTTTCTTGGTTCCCTTTTGGCTAAGTTTATACTTCTTTCTGGACAGGCTGTTTAAAATTTCTGGTCTATCATCCTGGAGATTAGTACCTATAGAGAAGACCTTTGCCTGTGACCGAAAACTAGCTTCTGTCTGTGCTTTAGCTTGAATTTCTTCCCTATCATCTAACAGGCTTTTGGTTTTTGCCACGATAATCTTCTCACTCAGCTCAGAATCTTGCATAAACTCGCATTCTTCATCATCTATGTTGCTTTCAGATTCTTGCTTGTTTTTGGTCACTGAAAAATAACGCATTACTTTAAGCATAACATAACCAAGAATGTAAGAATACGAAAAAAAGCATGTTTTATTTCATGCTTTCCAGTGTTTTATTGTAATATATCAGATGATTATATTCTGATAAACCACTAGTGAAATTTATAAAATATAATTTTCCCTGTAGCCGGACTATATCTGAATGCGCATGAAAAGAAAATCATTACTAAATGGAATAGCAGTTAGAAATAAATGCTGTCATGCGTAAATATTGCTTCTTTAGGAAAAGAAAGTCGATGTCACCATACATCATGTTAAAAATGTAACAAAATAAGAGAAATTTAACAGAACTATATTTCAAAATTGATAATGTGACGTCATGATGTGATGACGTCAGAAAGGAGAATGCATGACGTTACGCGGCAAAATCAGTAAAAAATACTTTAAATCACTTTAAAAGCATGAAATAAAAAGAAAATTTATTTGTTTTACATATAAGATTTAAATATCATTTCACTGAGTGAACACCAGATGCAATATTTTCACGAGTGGCGTAGCCACGAGTGAAAATATAATAGCTGGTGTTCACGAATGAAACTTATTAACATACAAATAACAACACACTATACATATATGTTACGAAGTTCAATCATTTTTTTTAAAGATTAGTGAATCAATTTATATCGCATCCATCTATCCAACATTAAATTCGCAAACTTATAAAAACAGCATTTTCAAAACTTGCATGTACATAATGAATGTCAAGATTCAAGAAAGATTTAAAGTTTAAATTTTTTCTAACGATTCAAAACTTACATACTATAACAATTAAGTTACGATTTTAGATAATAACATAATTAATGTTATATGGTTTTCATACGCTGATTTTAAAATTTGCAAGATTTCATTATCATTAAATCTTAATACCACATATATATAAAATCCACTTACATATTATGGTTTTTCCTGTTTTCTTGTCAAGGTAAAACTCCGCTTCTTCAACCATTCCATCCTCTTCATCCATAGCATACTGTAAGACAAAAAATTCCCACTTTAAACTGCTATCTTTATTTTACACTGACAATTTAAACAAGAGGGCCATGAAGGCCCTGAAATCGCTCACCTGTATATAGGCACCCGGGACGGGCCAATTTTAACACAGGGGCTTTTATTTGTACAAACATATTAGACACCCATTTGTTTCATGATAAATATCTAAGCTCTAGCTCTAAGAAGATTTTTTTAAACTTTTTACTATACACATATAGAGAAAAACAATGACCCCCTCTCTGGGCGGGCAAATTTTGTCCCCAGGTCTTTTATTTGAACAAACTTGGTATGCACTCACTAGAAGATAATTCACGCTTAATATCTTATATCTTAACTCTAGCTCTTTGGGTTTTTTAACAAAAGATTTTTTAAGTTTTTACTATATACATATAAGGAAAATCAATGATCCCCAGGGAGGGGCTAAGTTTTTAACCCCAGGGAACTTATTTGAACAAAAATGGTAAACACCCATTAGAAGATGTTTCATACTAAATATCTTAGCTCTAGCTCTAAGGGTTTTTTTTAAAGAAGATTTTTTTAAGTTTTTACTAAATACATATAGGAAAAAACAATGACCCCCTAGGGAGGGGCCAATTTTGACCCCAGGGCTTTTATTTGAATAAACTTGGTAGACACCCACTAGAAGATGTTTCATGCTTAATAGCTAAGCTCTTGCTATTTGGGTTTTTTTAAAAGAAAATTTTTCAAGTTTTTACTATATACAAATAAGGAAAATCAATGACCCCCTGGGGCGGGGCCATTTTTGACCACAGGGTATTTATTTGGACAAACTTGGTAGACACTAACTAGATGATGTTTCATGCCAAATATTTCAGCTCTAGCTCTTACGGTTTTCTAAAAGAAGATATTTTAAGTTTTTTCTTTCGGTTGCCATGGCAACCAGAGTTCTGCTTGGAATTTAATTCTTTGAACAATTTTTAAAGTCCACTACCAAAGGAACATTCCTGTGAAGTTTGGATGAAATTGGCTTAGCGGTTTATGAGGAGATGTTGTTTAAAGTAAAAGTTTACCGACAGACAGATGGATGGACGCCGGACGAAAAGCGATAAAAAGTATATTTAGTTAATTATCTCGTCCTATTTAGAATTTAACTTTTTTTTAATCATTTTCAAGATGCCAAGACACCTTTATGATAATATTTTCAAGACCTACAATTCCCATTCAAGAGATTTTAAATAATTAATCACATTCTGTGTGATTTTCTAAAAGCACCTTTGGCTTTGCAATTAGTATACTAGCGGAAGATGTCATTTCTTTTTATATAATTTTTAATAAGGATAATTAATTGGATACCATGTACATTTAATTATACATATATCATACATAATGTTGTATGAAGTTGAAAGGATAAAGCGTTCCAACTAAATAAATTTACCAATAATTTTCTGCCATTTACAATGTTTACATGCAATAACAATGAAAAAGAGTTGATTTTGAATAACAGTGTTTCAAATTTAAAAAGCAAAATATCAAGACAGCAGTTTTTTCATTATTATTTTTTTTTTTTGCAGAAAATAACACCACTATAAAAATTCCATCTTTTCTTGGGAAAAACTACATCAATCTATATGTTTATGTTTTTAATAGCAAAGATCAGAAATTGTCGACATTTTTATGTTCTTGGTTGTTATTTTTCAATCAAACCTTCACTGAACAGGTCATGTTGCGACTCCCCAGCTTTACTGGTGGACGAATGCCTTAGGTATATGTGCTCCTCCCTGTATTACTTCAGGTACGGGCCGTTAAATGAGTATAACCACCAACAATCTATATAAAATAGGTATGGAACAAAATGATAAATAACTATACCTTATTATATACATCATCTTTTGTTTCAGTGGGTACAGACAAACTGCTATTGACAAACTGTGACAAAGTCTGTTCTCTGAAAAATTCAAACCATAAATAATAAAAAAATTCAAATGCATTGAAAACTTACATGTAGTCTTAAATGTTTTTAATGTACTTTGAGTAATGTAATGCATTCACTCACAGAGACAATGATTTGTACATACAATGTTTAGACTTCATGCAAAAAGTTTGCATATGATACTGCACATTTTGGTTATAGATACACATGAACATGCCATCATCTTGAAAAAAAAAATAATGTAGGTGAATTTTAAATGCTGATCCTTGACTCTATTGACAGATCCCCTATGTAAACTAACTTTATTTTGTAACTCTTGATTGGAGGTTATTATATACTGGTTAGACCTCATCAATTTTATACAAAACTTTACAAGAAACAGGAAAGATTAATTTGGCTAACCTAGGGTATACAAACTTGAAGCTACACTACCGGTCAGAACCACCACACCTGCTGGACCTAAGAGAAGCATAGACCCTAATAATTTGAACCTATTAAGTCACCTCTTAAGATCACACAGGGTTAAACTGTGACTGCAATTCTGATGCCACAACCCATTAAGGCAGCCCCTCAACCACAATGATCAACTATACAGGGATATATTCATAAATAACATATATTAAACATACCTAAAAGCTATCAGATCATACATGTATATATGATAATAAATTTACTTACGACCCATCAGATCTTATAATAATTGGTTTTCCAGGTCCTTTTGTTTTAATGCTCACATAGCCTGGACTGTCATCAGTTGAGACATCCATTTGTTCTTGAGCACCTAAACAACAATTAATAAAGGAAAAATGAGTCAATATGCCCAGTTTATTTACATTAATGGAAACAGTATGATTATACATGGAGAAATGGCAAAAGCAGTAGAGAGGACAGCTGGGGTAAGCAATACCAACAAAGAGACTGTGTAGACTAGTAAGCACAGTTGTATCAATATTTTCAAAAATCAAATTTTACCATAGCATCTCTTAAATATGAAAAATGTCCGCAAATTTCTACTTTAAGGAGATATATGTGTCCACAATTGTTTGTAACCTTGGCATTACACTGAAGTTACATACATTCACAGCATAAACGAAACAAAAGGTTAGCTGTAGCACAAGCGCATAAATACATAATAAAGTTACATGACGCCTGAACATTAAGTCATTAACAATGCGTCTATTTGGTATACTGTACATGTATGTTTCTAAAATTAATGTTACTACATTTTTTTAGTTAGCTCAGCACTTAATTTCGTACTATCCTCTGAGCATTCTGTATCAGAAAACTAACTTTACACGTTTTGTTTTCCAATTTATATAAATTCAAAGTCTGAAAAAAAAATACTATGTGAAAACTTGCAGGCATGCTGGCAATTGACAAAACAATGGATCGAGCAAGGTATGTGACCTTAACACTTTTCCACCAGACACTGAATTGAATATTCTGAATAATTCCTAATGGTTTCATCTTTTGTCAGTGACTTGGTATTTTTCATCATTTTAACACATAAAATCAAATAAATCTGGACATGTCCTTACAAGCATTAGAGCAGAAATCTTATCAAGTTAACAAAACATAAATAATGAAATAATATCTGATTTTTATGACTATCACAATGTGATATTATATTTATTGTGACTTTCTATAACCAAGTAATGTCCAGTATTACTATGTACAACCCAGATTTACCAAGTCTTACTTACTGGACTGAGAAGTGCTCATAAACCTGGGTCTTTCAACTTATTGCCAAACTTGTTTCCTACAGGATTAAAATACACTTCCATTAGTCACTCAGTGAGTAACAAGGAATTTAAAAAATATTTTTTTTCTAATTGCGAACGTTTTGCAACTTATATTTCAATTTCGCGTCTGTTCCCGGAAACCCGCCAGTCGATGTATATGAAAAAAATGCTTTTTACCTGTTAAGGGCTCAAAAATTTATCCCTGTTTGGGGAGGCACCAAAAACCCCTGGGTTGTGCTCCCCCTTTAGGAGTTAAGGAAAATTAAATGACTTGTTGAGGATGCATGCATTAACCCTTTCCCCCATGAGCATATTGTGAAAAATGGCCAGTTTTACTGAAAAGCCTCCTCTTACAAGTTCAAACTGCTATGAAACTATGAAAAATGCTTCAATACTAATCAAACTTGGCACAAATGTTGACTGGACCATTGCCTTTGTGAAGACATGCTCAGTCTTAAATTTCCTGTTACCATGGCAACGAGGGGACATCTCAAAATTGCCAAAAATCACTATTTTGCCTCGATTTTTTCCATCAAAATTTATTTCAAAGTGCTGCAACTTCTCAAGGGATTGATATAGAGTCAAAGGCTTTTCAGCGTTGGTTACACGTTATATTATGATCGACCTTGGGTCATTTTTAGCCTCTCACAAGTCCAAAATTTTCTTGGTGATGAGGGGGACTCCGCCCCCCTTCAAACCCCCCTAACAGAAGGGGGCACATCCACCTTCTGGCAACCCCCTGATGTATCTTTTGGATGGGGGGCGGCGCCGAAAAAGTGCTCAATTTTTTGACCAACATTTCTCAAACGAAAACATGTGTTTGGGGCCCAGATAGGACATTTTTTCACTATTTGAGGCCTAAAAAAAGGGGGGTGGTCGAAAATGCGTTGTTTCGCGTATATATGTGGTAAAGGGTTAAAAAAACAAGAGCTGTCGGTAGGACAGCATGCTCGACTATTCTTAGTGCTTGATAGTAAAAAAAATGCCTGATACAGTTACCTCCTCCTGTTTACAGGTTGGGGTCATGATGGTGAACAAGTGTGCAAAGTTTCAAAGCCATATGTCAATGGACTTTGAAAATATTTGAACTATTACAAAAACTTTAACGTAAATTCTAAGTCGAAAAAGGGGCATAATTCTGTCAAAATGCTTGATAGAGTTACCTCCTCCTGTTTACAGGTTGGGGTCATGATGTTGAACAAGTGTGCAAAGTTTCAAAGCCATATGTCAATGGACTTTGAAAATATTTGAACTATTACAAAAACTTTAACGTAAATTCTAAGTCGAAAAAGGGGCATAATTCTGTCAAAATGCTTAATAGAGTTACCTCCTGCTGTCTACAGGTTGGGGTCATGATGGTGAACAAGTGTGCAAAGTTTCAAAGCCATATGTCAATGGACTTTGAAAATATTTGAACTATTACAAAAAATTTAACATAAGTGGTTACGCCGACGCCGACGCTCGGGTGACTGCAATAGCTCTACTTATTCTTATCGAATAGTCGAGCTAAAAAATGATGAAAAACTTTGGAATCACCTAAAAACTAGTTTTTCCATGTTAAAATGTGGTCTTTCACCTAATTTTGGTGAAATATTGTTGTTTTGTAACATTCATAATTTTTTTAGTTAACCCTCTCCCCCATGAGCATATTGTGAAAAATGGCCAGTTTTACTGAAAAGCCTCCTCTTACAAGTTCAAACTGCTACGAAACTATGAAAAATGCTTCAATACTAATCAAACTTGGCACAAATGTTGACTGGACCATTGCCTTTGTGAAGACATGCTCAGTCTTAAATTTCCTGTTACCATGGCAACGAGGGGACATCTCAAAATTGCCAAAAATCACTATTTTGCCTCGATTTTTTCCATCAAAATTTATTTCAAAGTGCTGCAACTTCTCAAGGGATTGATATAGAGTCAAAGGCTTTTCAGCGTTGGTTACATGTTATATTATGATCGACCTGGGATCATTTTTAGCCTCTCACAAGTCCAAAATTTTCTTGGCGATGAGGGGCACTCCGCCCCCCTTCAAACCCCCCTAACAGAAGGGGGCACATCCCCCTTCTGGCAACCCCCTGATGTATCTTTTGGATGGGGGGCGGCGCCGAAAAAGTGCTCAATTTTTTGACCAACATTTCTCAAACAAAAACATGTGTTTGGGGCCCAAATAGGACATTTTTTCACTAGCCTAAAAAAAGGGGGGGGGGGTCGAAAATGCGTTGTTTCGCGTATATATGTGGTAAAGGGTTAAACAGTTATATTGAAATTTAATACCTCCTTCTGGTATAGCCATCACCTCTACAGAAAGCTGGTCAGACTGTTCACTCATATCTTCATCATCATTTAAATCTTGACCACTGAAATAAAACACAGTAATTTGTGAATTAGCAGGGGTTTTTTTTACTAACAAATTGACACCGATAGTCGGCGTCTTCCCCTCGGTAAATAGCCAAGATTTTTCCCCAAAAAAATTCTATTTTCCTTTAAACTGGATCAGATTTAATAATTACATGGTTTAAAATATTATTTTTCTTCATTTTATGCAGGATAAACCACCAATTGTTGTCCAAAATAACCAAAAAAATTGCAGGAAACTGCAAGTACTGTCTCAACATGGAGGCAGCCATTTTTTTCTTGGCTATATCCCGTACTAAACGGTACTATTTCTGGAAATCAGTTGCTATCAAAATATTGTCATTTTCTTGGTTATTTTTAGTAAAGTAATATATTTTGTACTTCTTATTATGAAAATGACTTATATGGAGCTAAAGTGTGTCACAGATACACTATTATACCTATACTGTATTAACTTTCATATAAAAATAGAAGTATAAAAACCATTCACCACCATACATATTAAGAAAATATGTTATACTGCAAAGAATATTTTGCATGATGATAAAGTTTTTAAGGGGAAAAAAATATAGTTGTAACCCTCTACTATGTAGTTAAGTATATAGTATAAATAACGTCATAATAAAGTTTCCCCAAATTGACTTTTTTCGTATATTTTTTCCCCTCCCTACCAGCGTCCAGCGTCTTCCCCTTTTCCTAAAAAAAACCCCTGATTAGGTTTATGTTTATGAAGGAAAGATATGACAAAAAAAATAAAATTAGACAATAAAAAATATGATAGACTGTAAAACTATCAACTTGTGGTTAGTTCACTGACTGGTACACATGGTTTACATCTGAGACTGAAAAACTCTGGTAGGAATGGACATTTTAAAGTATATTTGCACTTGGAAGTTGGCTACCATAGTTTTTAACTACCTTATCAATGAGTTTCTTTACAGTTACACACATTCGTAATTATTATTAAAATGTAAATTTACACAGGTCTGTAAGACAATATCTATTGCAAATCATGAACCGAACGTATGCTTAGAAAGCAGACCTCGACAAATCCACTCGCCTGCTGGCATTTGCCAGTAAAAGTTTGGGTCGGGCAAGGAAAATATAGGTTAAACTCGTCTGATTGGGGAAGTAAGATTCACATGACATTTCTCTAAATAGTAAACTTTAATGTAAATGAAGTTTTTCAGTAAAAAAAACCTGCAGACGCCCTTTCAATCACTAATATTGTCAAATTAAAACCAGAAATTGACCTAATAATTACAGCATTATTCTACAATGTTTCATACATACGCGTTCGGTAAAGTTTTAAACTTGGCCATGACTGCATGAGGTTGATATCTTAGCCGAGTGGTTGCACTCGTTAGACTTTAAAGTAAAGAAGTATTCAGGTTTAGTACTATTAAACATTTTTCTTTCTGTTTATGTTATAGATCTACATTATGCTCAATAAACAAACAAAGTTTAAAGAAAATCTCTTCATTATTTTTCTAGAAATATGATTTTTTATGTCATAAGCCCAATCAGGCATTTTCACAAGCCTGTTAACAGCAGCTGACATGTCTGTCAGAATTTTAGAATGTCAATTTCCTGTGATTGGACTAGGGTAATGACAGGTTCATATGATAATTTCTACAATCACTTTGATGGAAAAGAGTTTTATATAGTTAACATGTGTGAATGCCATTTATGAACACGTGCAGATGACGAGAGGCTACGACATGTTTCCCTGAACAGATTTTTAATAACAGATTTCCCTGACAGTTCTGTAAGAAAGGTATTTATACAACTAAATAATGCACAACTAACGAAAATCTTCGCATATGCTGTATATTAAATGAAATAAAAATACATCAAAAACATATAAAAGTAAAATTGAGAGTTAAAATACTTACATTTTTTAAGAATAACTTCGTTTCACAATCTTTAATTTGTAAAAAATGGCTGCCAAATTGGTTTTCCCTTATCTACGGGCTGTACGCATGCGTGAAATCCAGTCTGGTTCCGGCCGGCCTATTGATAAATGTTTGGTCTAAGGGAAGTAAATGTGTTAAAATATGTTAGGTGAATTATATTAGTTATCCTTATTAGAAAATGTTCGCACAAGATTTTTGCACTTCTACATAAATTTAAGCTACACTAATTATACATATCAAGATCCTGTGATAATAGAAGTTATTCGATCAACTATTTCGTTAGTAGACATGGAATTGTGAGATAATCCTTGTCCATGGTGTAAATAATTCTACCTATCAAATATGTGAACAACACACAACATCATACATGTATAATACTTCCATATAATACACGTTCTTTTTTTTTTTTAAAGCATAATACATTGGAACACCTAATCTGTTTTCCGTATACCCTTTTCGTGTAGGTTATCTTGCTGGGAAAGGACGAGAAAATAAAAGACAGTGAATTGTGTATCAAAGTGATCCCTCGGAACAAAATTACATGAAAATTGCAGACTCGGTTTGATTGATTCTGTACTTGTTTGAGGGATAAATAAATTAATGTAAAGAAATCTCACAAAACCATCTGTTTATAAATATGAAATAATGTAATTATAGTGTTCTCCTAACGTGTTTTATGTAATCCCATCAATTATAAAATTAATGTAATATGAACATTTGAAACTCCATCATGTTTCCCTTTTTACCAATTTACTGTATTTATTTGTATGATTATGCATAATTGTATGATTGTGCGTATGATTTTCCAATAAATGGGGTTTCACATTTGTGGACCAAAAGCTTAAATAAAAAAGAATACTTCTAGGGCAACACTAAACTCATCAAAATAATTATAAACAGCAGTCCATGGATATAGGAGCTGGAAAATATATTTACTGAAAACAAAGAAATAATCTAAACACAAAAATTTACATTTATATTATAGTTCAGATACAATGTGTGGCGAGTAATAACATATTTCCTTCTTTAAAAAAAAATTGTTCTTTTGTTCAATAATCACAATTATACTGTTTTTTATCCTGTGCTGCTATAGTAACTGTTTTCATTGGTCATTTTAAAATTACAAAATGTAATCTGGGACTCTCATTGGCCATTATGATAGTCCTTGTCAATCTCAGGTTGTTCTCAACTAAATAGTAAAGGATAACTCTTTCACGTAAAATTGCTCAGATATTTAAGTTCTGTTTAACAATACCTCTTGCATTCAAATCTTACTACATTTTATATAATGAACAGTTTATTTAACGTCAGAGCTTATTGAGTTTATTTTACACAAGACCTAGCTGAGTTTTAAATTTTGTCCACAATAACGAGAATAATATCAGAACTTATACGTACCCTTATTTTATGATCTATATATTATATGGAAGATACAGACATGTACATGTAACTTGTATTTGCTTTTTCATGTTAGATCATTTGTTTAGATCTGTATATGTAAACTTGTTATTTAAAAGCGAGAACCTTCGATTTAAAGATTGGAGGCATATTATTTGCAATACAGAGATATAGTCATACACGTTTGCATTTTCAAAAGTAATCTTCAAAAGGAACACTTTACATGTCTGGAATTTTGGCAACGAACGCCCTCCATACAAACAAAGCATTTTGCGTTTTTTTTGTACAAAGCATCGTCTTTGCACATTTAGAATATTGCGTAAATTATAAGTAATATATAAGCTGCATGTAAAACGAACTATGGTTGCATTATGCCACGGCTACGGTCACGGGGGAGGAAGTGTTACACGAAGGAGTTCTTATGATAACTTGTTCAGGAGTTCTTGTGATAACTGTCACGGAGTTCGTCGGAAAACATCTGTATATACCAAAAAAACACTCGTCAAAAGTGGTTATTTTCATCGTTCAAAAATGAGTTTTAGGTGCTAAATTAAAATTTAATGATTAAGCTTGTCTTACATCTTGTATTTTGTGTCAAAAACTAATACACAGGCCATTTTTAATCGCCCCTTGCTTCAAATCAGGTAGTTTTGAGTAAAATTTCCAAATTATTTGCCAATTCGCAAGTTTTGACCGGTTTATTTCTAGTCTTCATCCTTGCCATACATAATTACCTAATTATTATGCAAAATTGCAAACATAAAGCACCGGCTAACATATTTATACCCGATTTTTCAAATGTCCCGGAGTTCTTGTGATAACACTGAAGATGTCACAGAGTTCTTATGATAACTTTTGTTATTGCCAGTGTGTTTCTTGCGCTAAATCACCGCACGTTTTGGCGTTTATTATCTTTCAATAAGTTTGTAAATCATTATGAAATGCAGTACGATCATCCTTTGCACAAAAAATGTGGTAAGTGTCTGCAAAGGATAAATAGGTGATAGGCTATCATCTACAATAAAAATTACACCAGCGGCCACTGATATTCAGCAGTATAATGGCTTAAACCTCAAAACAAAAATGTCTCAAAACGTGCTTCACATGTTTTAAACAACCACCTTTCTTAAGCAGACAATATATAGGCATGCTTCCCTTACCTTAGGGCTAAGTAATTTGCATCATTTATACCATAATAAATAAGTATATAACCAGGATAATTTCCACACGGTCACCCATGTCTTAAAAAAGTACGATGCATGATAAAAACTCAACTGCGGTTGACTCTAACTACCGATCTCTCAAACAAATTTGAACTGTCCTCCCAGGTTCGACCGAACTAAGTTTGACTAAATATTTTTGTTATCAATTACAGCAGAAGTAGCAGAGTTTCCTCCACTAAGATTACATAGGGGAAATACTCATCAAACATCGACAGAAAAATATACATAAAAATACCATATTTGAGTATTTCAAAGCGCATTTTTTTCACGTACATAAATGCCCTACTGGTTTCATAGCAGTTCCCGGCCCCAAATCGCACTTTTTAACAAATAAAATAAAAATCTGTCTACCGAAGAGTGCAAACTTTGACAGAACAAAGTTAGGTACCTGTCCAGCATTACCATGTTTTAATGTTGCTCTTTTATTTTACATTTTAATGGAATAAAGACCTGAGATGTAACACCTTTGCTCACCATTATTCAAAATTTCATAGCAGTTTATCGGACCTTTTTTATTTTGAATATAATACAGTACCAATAAGCAATGTTAAGCTGGATTTTTCAAATAGATATAACTTCCCAAGCTTTTCCGTGTCGTCTGCAAATATATTGTTTAAAAGTAGTGATTAAAATAGAATGGGATTTCAGTTATTGTGCATGGGTATTCAAACTAGAATTCCCCAGGTGTTGCTTGTAAGTGTCGCAAGTTCTCTAATGTAACTTAAAACAACAGACAAAACTTTAGAACATATTAATCGCTGTACTATTATAACTGCTGTATTACATAGAAAACAAATGTTTCTCTGATTGATGCAGTAACATAGATGCTTAACTGATAAAAATAAATAAACTGTATGTCTGAATGAAAATGATAAAGGGCCAGAATACTGCTAGGAGCCGGAAACTGCTAGGAAACCAGTACATAAATCTTTTTTGCAGTCTACGAAATCTGCGTCAAACAAGAAAAAAAACTATGAAAAAGGAACGGGGGAAAGAAATAATATCTCTTGAACTAAATTCACTCAAAACCAACATTATATATCCTATTTTGTATGCAAAGGGTGAGCGTACTACATTTCATAATAATTTACAATCTCATTGAATAATAAAAAACGCTAAGACGTGCCGTGAAACACGCTGGCAATAACAAAAGTTATCATAAGAACTCTGTGACATCTTCAGAGTTATCACAAAAACTCCGGGACATTTAAAAAATCGGGTATAAATATGTTAGCCGGTGCTTTATTTTTGCAATTTTGCATTATAATAAGTTAATTATGTATGGCAAGAATGAAGACCAGAAATAAATAGGTCAATACTTGTGAATTGGCAAATAATTTGGAAATTTTACTAAAAACTACCAGATTTGAAGCAAGAGGCGATTAAAAATGGCCTGTGAATTAGTTTTTGACACATAATACAAGATGTAAGACAAGCTTAATCATTAAAGTTTAATTTAGCACCTAAAACTCATTTTCGAAAGATGAAAATAACCATTTTTAACGAGTGTTTTTGTAGTATATACAGATGTTTTCCGATGAACTCCGTGACAGTTATCAAAAGAACTCCTGAACAAGTTATCATAAGAACTCCATCCTTCGTGTAACACTTCCTCCCCCGTGACGGTGATTGATTTCAAACCTTTATGCTCTGACCACTGTGGCTAGAATCGGAATAAAGGCCATCCTGCAGCTAGCTTACGAATCGGCCATGTCTCTAAAACAGGTTCCCGTTCTATCGTGTCTGAAATAATGCTAGGAGGGGCACCCGTTGTTTTCCTCCTTTGGTGAAGCTGGGAAGTCGACATGTTGGTGCGACCTCAAACTTACAATAAGGTATGAAAGTGTTTAAACGAGGCAATCTTTGTCACTCATTAAAAAATACATTTTCCACATCTAATTGTTTCATTGTTTTTTAAAGTGGGAAATTAATGACGGCCACTTATTTAGCTAACTAATTGCGATGTTTGACACGTGTATTTAAGGCAATTTATCACTTACAAAACGTTTTAACAACAACAGCAACATTTATTTAGCAATTAAGCATTACAATGCTTTTAGCCATAATATACATTTGACATAAGGTGACAAATGACACGAGAAATCATTAGCAATCAAATATTTTCTGCATAGAGAAGCTTACACAATAAATAAACTAGTTTGACATAGGTAAATTTAAATCACGATACCAATATATAATAATTATCAAATTTCTAAACTATTCCTTAATTTATTTGAAAAAAATTTATATTTTGATAAGTTTAACAATTGTCTTTCATTATCTGTGGACATCAGTCTATCGAATTTACTAAGAGTTGGCCACCTACAAAAATATGGTTTGAAGTATTTTTTCCTTATTTCTCGATATATTGAGCAGACAAGAAGAATGATACTCATCTTCAATTATATTATCTTGGTTGCAAAATTTACATATTCTATTAGTTCGTTCTATATTAAGATATCTACCTCTTTCTATTTCTAAATTATGCGAAGATAATCTAAATCTACTTAAGGCAATCCGAAATTTCCTTTCACTTATTGAATTTAAATATGTTTCAAAGTTAAAAGATTGTTTAAACCTACAGTAAGTAAGTAAACGTTGTGAATTGTTTATGCTTGCATACCAAGCTTGATAATAATTATCTAATATCCTTTGTTTAATTTCTAAAAATGTAAAATTTCCATTATCTTGATTTATCCATATATTTGAAAGTCCTAGATTGTTTAACATTGTTTTTATATGAAAGGCCCAATTTGAATTATTGTATGTTATATTATTATTGGCATCATTGGCATGATATAAATTTGTTTTTGCAAAGAGTTGTCTAATTTCTGTAAATGGATCCAATATCTTATCATATTTATTTTTCTAAAAATAATCATAGGAACTCTCCCTAATTCTCCGTAGAGACCAGTAGTATTAGTTGATTTATTAACATATAAAAGTTTTCGACAGAATTTTGTATGAATAAGTTCTATATCTGTTCCTGCATTCATTCCCCAGACTTCTGAACAGTAGTTTAGTACAGTAGCAACTAGCGAATCAAACAATTTACTTTTTTCACTAGTAGAAAAATCGTACTTATCAAAAATTGAAAATAGTTTATGTAAAGATTTAGATGCATGTTCTGCAATACATTTTTGGGTTCTATTCCAATTTGCATTTTTGAAAAAAATATACGCCTAAATATTTAAAAGAAGTAACATTTTCTAGTAGAGTATTATAAAGGTAAAAATCATAATTTGTATGTCTACTGCCTTTTTCAAAAATCATAACCTTAGTCTTTGAAGTATTTATTTTTAGACCCCATGTATTACAATATATTTCAATATCATTGATTGTAAGGATACTCTACTTTATAATACTCTACTAGAAAATGTTACTTCTTTTAAATATTTAGGCGTATATTTTTTTCAAAAATGCAAATTGGAATAGAGTCACTAGTTGCTAAAGGAAGTCACTGGTTGCCATGGTAAGTCTCTGGTTGGAAATTAATGGTTGCTAAGGAAAGTCACTGATTGCTATGGAAAGTTAGTTTTTTCTTATGGAAGTAAGTAGTTGATATGGAAAGTCAATGGTTGCTATACTGGTTAATGTTGATATGGAAAATCAATGGTTGCCAAGGAAAGGTACTGGTTGCTATGGGAGGCACTGGATGTTATGAAAAGCCACTGGGTGCTAAAATAGTCTTTGGTTGCAATTCAAAGTCAGTGGTTGTTATGCGAATTACTGGTTGCTACGGGAAATCACTGGTTACCATGGAAGTCTAAGGTTGCTTTGGGAAGTCTCCAGTTGATATGGAAATAAACGGTTGCTAAGGAAATTTACTGAAAAGTAAGTTGTTTACGGGAAGTCAGTGGTTGTTATGTGAGTCACTGGTTGCTCAAGGAAGTAACTGGTAGCCATGAAATTCTAAGATACTTCCACTGACAATGGTTACTAAGGAAAGTCACTGTTTGCTATGGAAAGTTAGTTGTTACTAATGGAAGTCAGTGGTAGCTATGTGAGTTACTGGTTGCTTAGAGAAGTCACCGGTGGCCATAGAAGTCACTGGTTGCCATGGAAGTCTATGGTTTCTATGGAAAGTTTCTGGTTGCTACAGAAGTCTATGTTTTCTAAGGAAAGTCACTGATTGCTATGGAAGTCACTGGTTGTTATGGAAAGTCAATGGTTGCTATGGATGTCAATAGTTTCTATGATAAGTCTAAAGTTATTATGGAAAGTCATTGATTGTTATTGCTGTCAATGATTGCAGATGCTATGGAAGTCACTGCTTGCTATGAAAAGTGATTATGGAAGTCAATGATTGCTATTATAATCAGTGGTTGCTTTGGGATGTCACTGGTTGCATGGAAGTCTATGGTTGCTATGGAAAATCACTTGTTGCTATTCAAAGTCAACAGTTGCTATGGACAGTCTATGGTTGCTCTGGAAAGTAAATGGTAGCTGTGGAAAGTCTTTGTTGCTTAAGAAGTCAATGGTTGCTATGGGAAGTCATCAATTGCTATGGAAGTCATCAATTGCTATGAGAAATGTTGCTGGTTGCTATATATGGAAGTCAATAGTTACCATTGAAAGTCACTTTATGCTATGGGAAGTCACCGGTTTCTATGGAAGTCAAAGGTTGGTATGGAAAGTCACTGGTAGCTATGGAGTCAATGGTTGCTATGGAAAGTCAATGGTTGCTATGGAAGTCAATGGTTGCTTTGAAAAGTCTATGTTGCAATTGTAAGTCAATGGTTGCTATGGAAGTAAACAACCATTGTATTTCCATAGCACCCATTGACATGCCATAGCAACCACTGACTTTCTTAAGCAACCATAGCCTTCCTTATATTGGGATACTAGTATTGGTTTGTGATAGCGCCATACATAGCTATACGAGTTTGAAATTATTGCTGCACCTGTATCAGAAATAAAAACTTAAATTAAGATGTGCAACATCTCATCCCAATAAATATTTGTGTAATCTGTGATATATTTCTGCCATCTGTGAAAGAAGCAGTTTATAAAATTCCAGACATACTAATAACTGGTTTTATCTATTAAATTTAGAAGAAGAAAAAAAGAAAGAGTGAAATATCTCCAAATAAGCATTTGTGTAAGTTTTAGTAAACTACTGATAATCATTTAAGAACCATTTCATGAAACAAAAACCTTTGTTCAGGACTTTTATAAAAACATACACTTTTCATGCAATTTCAAAATAGATTTTCATGGGTTATCAGGACTTTAATGAATCTTTATAAACTTTTTACATTGTTGGTATAACAATCACCAAGCACTATGGGTTGTATCAACCTTGTTAACTAGGCCACATACCGAGTAAAAATCTTTATAACTTTTTGTATATAAATCATGACACATCCATGTGTGTGAGATAAAAATAGATTGCAGTTCCTTGAAAATATGTTCAATTCACGTGAAATAATGAAATAGAATAAAATCAAATAAAAAGAATTCTGTAAATCATTTTATGTGTTCCGACCAGTATCAACAACAACAAGATGATATATTTACAATTTTAATCATAAATAAGTAAACATGCTATTATTTTGAATTTAACATTCAACATTTTTTCAAAGTTACTAAACACATGTAAAATGTGGATTTCTTTGCATTTGATTCTTAATGTTGATCCTGGTCCTGTCAATAAACACTTGAGTTTTTTTTTAACAAATAAATGGTTTAAACAAATTGTAAAGAAAAACTAGAACTCCGCGAGTCGGATGTGTCGCCTTGTGAACAATATAGTTTAGGAGAAATGGCCAGGACAAAAATGATATTTGAAAATCAACAAAGGGCAATAGCTCAAAAAAAAAGAAATGCAGAGCAGCAGTTTCTATGCATTGCACTTCTCAGTATCAATAAGATCTATCATCCTACTAAGTTTCAAGTCAAAAGCTTTTATAATTTATGAGAAATGGCCTGGACAATAATAAAGTTTGAAAATTAACAAGGGCAATAACTCAAAAAATAAGAAATGCAGAGTACCAGTTCTTGTGCACTGCACTTCTCCTTAATGAGATCTATCATCCTATGAAGTTTCAAGTCCATAGCTTTTATACTTGAGGAGAAATGGCCCGGACAAAAATAAAGTATGAAAATTAACAAAGGGCAATAACTCAAAAAATAAGAAATGCAGAGTACCAGTTCTTGTGCACTGCACTTCTTCTTAATGAGATCTATCATCCTATGAAGTTTCAAGTCCATAGATTTGATACTTTAGGAGAAATGGCCCGGACAAAAATTAAGTATGAAAATTAACAAAGGGCAATAACTCAAAAAATAAGAAGTGCAGAGTACCGGTTCTTGTGCACTGCACTTCAGGTCATTGTAAGAAGCATGCATACCAAGTTTGAAGTCAAAACGACTTATAATGACTGACTTATGCTCCGGACAAGCTTAAGGGGACGCCGACGCCGACACCGACAACGACGCCGACACCGCCGACAAAAGTGACACCTATATGTCGCCTTTTTCAAGGCGACACAAAAAGTTAAGTTTTCCTTTCTTTAATTTCTATTATAGTTCTGTGTAAACACACGAGTTTTAGAAGAAGAAATTTTTTTTTGTTGGTGTTTTATTGCCTTAAGTTTGCATTTTTGTTACATAGATACTGTGGTCATATGGCTATTTTCCAGCTTTACTCTTAAAGGAAGACCCCAAATGGCCATTCATATATTACTTCAGGCACAAGCAAAACCACCAACTTCCTGTAAGCTAACTGGCCATGGGTAGCTTCCTCATATAAAAGAATCTAAAGTCCTGTGTGGTAATAAATCAATAACAGTCAGGGGCAAGTGATACAAATTTATGACCTTTAACTATCGTGCTAACATAACCATCAATAGAAACTTTAAACCATACATATCTCATAAACCGTCTCAGATTACATGTATTTTGATATGAGCCGCGTCAAGACAAAACCAACATGCGTTTGTGACCAGCATGGATCTAGACCAGCCTGCACATCCGCGCAGTCTGATCAGGATCCATGCTGTTCGCTATCAGTTTCTGTTCTTGTAATAGGGTTGGTAAGTGAACAGCATGGATCCAGACCAGACTGCGCGCTCGCAAACGCATTATGTTGGTTTTGTCGTGACGTGGCTCATATGTCTTTTATCAGTAAAACCTCCATTCTGATCTAATTTGAAACTTCTCACACAAAAAAGTTGAAAATGTAAGACAAAATTCATAGCACGTTATTCGACATGGGACGGAATGTGTTCACATAAATCACAATAGTATGGAAATAAATTATAGTACTATACATATACAACAGTATAATACAATAAAACTAAAAAGGAAATGAAATATTCCATTTATATGTGTTCTGTAAATAAAGGACATGAAAATAAAACTAAAAATATGCTTGCAATTGAACAGAGCTTTCGACTGTTCTTACTGATTTATAGTAAAAACTAAGCTTTTACATACAATGCAATACAATGCTTTGTTTACAAAGGGGAGTAATTCTGACAAAATCAAAGATAGAGAGGTGGGTCTGTAAGAAGTGACCTACAGTTATGGTCTAACCGGAAAATTTTTAGTTAAAAAACCAGTAAAAAACAGTGATTGTGGAGATGATCTTGCAAGCCGAACATCTTCAAGTCCTTTTGTAAGTTTTACAAAGGAGTTAAAAGCAATCAAAATAAATCTTTGCTAGAGTTATGGGTCTTATGATCTAAATTGATAATAAAAAAATGTTTTGATTTTCAGGGTAATATCTACATGTATATGAAGTTGCAACAAACAGCAAAGCAACTTATTGTTACACAGACTAAGATAGTGCATTAACCTGCAAACACAAAATCAAACAGTGTAACTATGAACAAAACTGTATATGCAAATGTTTTTGAAATATGTGATGCTATTTCTCCAATACTTAAGTGACTCAACAAATTTAGAGAGCAAAACACAATGTTATTTCAATATCTAAATAAGAAGAAACACGAAATAGCCATTTGAAGGCCCGTTATGTGTCAGAAATGCTATCATTTTTATTTCTCAAAAACTTTAAATTTTTGGTATCTTGTTACAGTTTCATGAAAAGACACTAACTTGCCATACGGATGAATTATCTTTGCTCCTTTTGTTTTCTTGGCAATTGGTATAATTATAGTGACTTAATATTTTGTATAGAAGTCATAATACTACTTTGTTTACATTTTGCTACCCTTACAACACATTACTGCACATTCAGCGCTACTATTTTCAGCTGTTAAACATCTAACATGCACTTAATCCATTATTAAACATATTTAACATTTGTAAAGAGTGAAACAAATATGGATTTCTGAGACATTATGTCCCTTTAAACAGTGTGAGAAATACCTAAACAAATAGTCACATAAATAGTCAAGTTTCATCCTCTTAAAGCTACTCTCCCACAAAAAACTGTCTCTTGTCTCCTTGTAACGACATAATTTTCTGTAATATATTGTACAGCAATTGATTGCAGGATAAAAAACTTACCAAGCATACACAACCAACGGATCTACTTGCAACCAGTTAATGGGTGTGGTAATAATTTAAGTCAATATTTACAAAATAAAACGTTGCAACGGTTTGAAATTACAGCATCATGAACAAAAACTTTATTTTTATGTTTTTCCTTCGGATAAGGCAAATATTAATATTCTAGTTCTATATAAATGCATGAGTCTGTGAAAATTTTATCTTTTGATGACATTTTATTTAAAAAAATGACCAAACTACAATGTGTGGGATAATAGCTTAAAGATTAAAAATTTTACATGACTGAACTGGTATTATCCTTAATTTGAATATTGGACTTGTCCAATTTTAAATTGGAACTGCCCAATGTCAATCAGAGGGAATTTTATACAAAACACAAACATTAGGTAGAGCAACTGTATAGAGACTGGTTGGAAAAAAATGTATGTGTATGTTGGTTCATGTAGGGGCTAAGACAAGTCATATTCATATATCTGCTAGAGCTCTTAAGAACACTTAATCAGCAAATTGATCAACAAAATCATAGCTCATGGGTTTAAACATGATGTTAAAGGAAACCATAAAAAATTCTACATCAACAAATTCATAGTAGATTCTATTGATATTCATAAACTTTGATCTTAGATAATTCACTATCAGACAAATAAAGCATACAATTTTATTGCTATATTGCTACCTTTATACACATTTAAGCCAGAAAAAAACCCAACAACAACATTTTCATCAACAACATGAAACAGCCATGCAAATAAAGCCAATGTATTGCTGTTTTAAGTACAGACATTTCTACCTTGAATTATCAGTTATTCTTACATAATTAAAATTTTTCTAAGTTTTATTTGTTTCTAAGTTATTCCATACACATGCGGAGTTTAACTTCATCCACATTCAATTTCCAAATCAATCAATCATTCCAATGTTCAGGTTGTCCTTTCATATATACCGGTATAAGGCACATTAATTAAGCACTTCCCAGAGTCCTGACAAGGTAAAACCATCCTTCAGTTTTTCCACGGCAAGTCCAAGTTCCTCTGAATAAACTGGATCCCTGTCTCTGTCTTTATTACCGTCTGCAAAATATGCCTAGAAAACAAAACATAAAAACTCATTAGTCTCATTAACAAGAGCCACCGCTGGGCGAGGGCAACGCCCAACTTTTTTACTTTTCTAAAAGCAAACAAATAAATGGTTTAAACAAATTGTAAAGAAAAAAAAGTTAAGTTTAAGTTTTCCTTTCTTTAATTTCTATAGTTCTGTCTAGTCACACGAGTTTTAGAAGAAGAAATTTTTTTTTTAGACATTTATCCTTGATGGTCAAGGTCATTTATGGATGAAGGTGAAGGTTAGTCTGGTCTATCCAAAGGGTTGTTGTAGCCAAGTATGAAGACAATACACCAAGAACTTTAAAAATTATGATCAACATACAAGTTTGTGGACGGCTACGGCAACACTAACATGACTGTAACAATACCACTACTTTTTTTTAAAAGTCGAGCTAAAAATGACAGAAGAGAAGGGGCACAAAAAGTGATTATTCACTACACCAAGTTTACTACCTGGGGATAAAATTTAGTCCCTTTTTTGTCCTGTAATAAAACCTTTTATGGTTCTGTTACAAAACCTATAACATGTAAAGTAAATTTCTTTACATGGTCAGCTAATGTACACATGTATCCCATCTTAGAGTGATTCAAAGCATGTTAAGCAATTAAACATGCTAATCAAACGTTACATGAGTTAAATGTGTTATAAACATTGTGATATGCAAATTACATAAAACATGGAGTTATTTCATTCAATATTACAATGCTGTAGATAGATTATTACATTAATAGGACAGGGTTATGTTTATTTAAGGGGCTATGATTTATTTTTATCAGTGCTTATTAAACTGACTGTGCAAAAAAAAATAACAGAATAATTTAGCACTTGAATGGTGATATATGATATATGCTGTTTACAGGAACATCAAATTGTATAGGCATAACTGATCATGGAGAAACACAAGTAGAATAAACTTACAGCAAAAGCATCTGTTTGTCCGTCTGTTTCTATTTCAACATCATCCTGAACTCTCTCAATAGTTAATTCATCCAGACCTTGAGGCTATCATAAATAATAAACATGTCAATACTTTGGCAGCTTGTCAAAATTATGTCTATTTTTAGCATTTCTGCTCTGAAAGTCACAATCTAACTAGTTTTTATACTTTTATGCCATTATACATGTAGTATTTTTTGTTAATTAAATACCTGTGTTTGACCAAAACCTAAATATAAATAAAACATAGTGTAAACCAGTCTTGGTGTTAATTAGATTCCTCTTTCTACCACTCTCCTATATTGTTAAATAATTAATCATTTATTTAAATCAATATCAGAACATGATAAAAAAGATCTGACATCAAAGTACACTCACTGTACACTGTGATAAAATCACTCTCCATGTACAATTGTGTGTGAATTGTAACCAGTAAGTTACTACTATTAAGTACGATAGTAATAGTTTCAACTATAATCACATATAGAGATTGTGTATACACCAAATTGGTCTTAAATCATATGTTCATATTGCAACTATCCAGCTTTTATCAGTTGATAAAGAGCCATGCACACTTGTGTACATAACTGTATGTCTCTAGGTAGAACCACTAGTCATCCAAAGCTGGCTAGGTAGATATTTTCTTTAGACATTCCAGAAAAGATTAAAACCTAACCCCACGAAAGGCAATGGTTGTTTAGTTTTGAGTCACACCAACATCATAAAGATCAATTAATTTAATATTAATGTTGCAAGAACTTCTGTTAATGAAAGAATGCAAGTACACCTGAGATGCTGTCATGACAAAACCAACATAATGGGTTTGCGACCAGCATGGATCCAGGCTGGTCGCAAACGCACTATGTTGGTTTTGTCATGGCACGGCTCAAATAACATTCTGTAAGCAGGCAACATACATAGCTTCCTCAAATAAAAGGAGTTCAAAGAACCTAGAAGACAAAAATTTTAACCACTTGGGCCTGGAAGCCAAATGGATAGAATTAATCTCAAAAGGTCCAGTCTTACCCTTTCATCTTCCTCAAACTCTACACCAAACACAGGACAGGTGCTATAGACTTTGTGTAAACTCTGTATTTCCTTATGAACTTGCTGTAATTTCTCAACAGGATCTATCCTGAACCCTAGTACATACCCTCCACTCTGTAACAATAACAACAATGAAATCAGCATAATCATAAAATTGCCCAAACATATAAATATATATATAAACCTTTTTCAATCCAATCTTTTAATTTTGCTCTTTAAGCAATCAACACATTATATGTCAGTCTCAGAGTCTGTCATATAGCTACTTTTAGCTGTCAAGGCTGCTTTGTATATTTTAATAAATGATTTATATCCCATGTAGTACCATGGACCATTTCTGACACAGTTCAATAACTTACTATCATCTGTATAAGACCACAGACCATTACTGACACAGTCAAATAATTTACTATCATCTGTATAAGACTACAGACCATTACTGACACAGTCAAATAATTTACTATCACATGTATAAGACCAAAAACCATTACTGACTCAGTTCAATAACTTACTATCATCTGTATAAGACCACAGACCATTACTGACACAGTCCAATAATTTACTATTATCCACTTAAGACCACAGACCATCAAAAGCAGACAAATGCTTTCCCAACAACTGTGTAGGACTAAAGACCATGACTGACACAATCCAATACTTTGCCAACAACCATAAAAGGTCGCTGACCATTACTGATACAGTCCAATAGTATACTAACATAAAAAGATTGGCCCTCCACAGCATTTTAGAGACCAATATCAGACAGATAAAGGCATGACATTTACCCAGTAAACTAAAACCACTTTGACAAAATTTAATATTAGCTATAAAATTTCAACTTGAAAACATATGCAATCTGCCCAGACATTACTTTAAACAAAAAAATCTGTATAATTAACAAAAAAGCAGTTCTAAAGTCATCACAGTAAAGTCCATTTTACAAAAACAGAGTTAAAAGTGTTAAAAATACCTGTGCTGAACTCTCTACAACCAAAGCCAATCCAAATTTTGAATCTCTGATCTTGATAGTTTTCTGAAATTTAAAATTTAAACTCTTAGACTAATAAATTAATGACTCACCAATGCCATCAGTATAAACCAGGCAAGCCTTAAAGCAGCACACCTCCAGATTCATGCTAAGTTTCATGAAAACTTTAAAAATATATTTGAATGTGAAGTAACCAAAAGGAAGCAATTAACACATTATCAATGGCACTTATAAGCCAAGTAAATTACCAAAAAGTGGTCAAAATATGCATAAATAGCCTTTACTGCGTTAGTAACGCAGTAGAAAAATAGTAGTAAATACTGAAAAATCAGTAATTATTCGCACATTATATGTAAAATATTACTTAAATCTTGAAACCTATTACTTTTTCTTACATCTTAGTACATGTTTCTCAAGTTTGATTTCATTGAAATATTCTGACTCATCTGGAGGTAGCCTTAAGTGCTGTATTGATAGGTTAATTAAACATTTAACTTACAATAACGGAATATATTTGGAAGAGTACACAGCTGAAGAAACCATATTGGATGAGCTGCCAGAAGATTCTAAGTAATATGATTTCTTAAGCTATGTATGAGCTAGTCCAAATATATTCCCGTACTGTACTTTTTAAATGTTTTATGACCTTTATCAAAATTAAGGAAATGCAACTTAATTAATATTTTTAAAGTTTGACATTGCAAGACTCTTGCAAGCCTCTTATAAGAATTCATTTGGTTACTTATGTCATTATAAGCTTTTATCATTGATGTTACATGGAAAAGGCAAAACACACTTGACTGTCCCATATAGGATAGTTATATTGGACCATACAGTGTCCAATATGGGAATAATTATTAGATGGTCAAATGGATCAATTTAAAAGCCATGACGGGTTGTTTACAATTCATATAAAATAAAGGGCAGTCATTGATTATTGTGATATCAATGTTTCTATTCCTAGCAACACATATAATTGATATATAGCATTGTACAAGCAAAATTTGTTTCAGCAGATAAAAGTATTCAAAACATTTGAGATTTAGTATGCACTGGTCCACTTAAAATCTTGACACCTTGGAAAGGAAAACAACAGTAAAAAAAAACAACACTTTTAACAGCATAACGTCAGTTGACAATTGCTAGTTATTAGGTGTTAAAGATGTGAAAACAAATTGACACATTTATCTTTATCTAAAAGTTTGGTGGGAATTATTGCCATGGTGTTTTGTACATAACAAACCATGAGGATTCTACTTATAAAGAAACTGCACCCAACAAAGCAGTTTAAATTCTTACACTAATTTAACTATGGAATTAATTATCCTATATATAGACCAAGTGAATTATGAGCAGGACCTTCCTTTGAAAATAGTTCTTGCTCTGATATATTTATATCTGTAGAAATACGTTATTTCAAAATTTGTATCAAACAAAGTCATTGTTTGCTGATTAATGAATTAGAAAGACACAATGCTTAGATAAAGTGATTATTTTTGACACAACAGTTTTCAGACATAACTTATTTTTCAAAATATATCTTATATCTGTCATGTTTTTAATGCAAGGATGTTGAAAAATTGAGTCAACTACTAGGTGAATTAAGGCAAATATTACTTTCTCACTAAAATATTGTAATCTACAGTAGTATCCACTATCCAAAGTTAAAGACAAAATTCATTGAGGTCCAAGTTTATTTAAATTTACAACTTTAACCACCTAGCAAAGGACTGACAGGAGGTATCTAACATAGGAAAATGTTTAGCACTGATTCACAACAACGCTGCTTTATATCCGAGAAATACTCACCATTTGAAGGTAGGGTATACTGACATTAAAAGATTCATTGATATTAGCATGCCAGACCAAACGAACATTAGTGATGAAATAAGTCCCCAGATTTCCCTGAAAAATAAAAGAAAATATACTAAAGGCTTATAACACAGTACAGAATCAAACACCATTCCTGTGTTTTACACAGAGCAGTAAAATAAAATCCTTTCTTTTCTGTCACATACTTAATTAAATACACTGAGGTATGCTATTTTTTGACTTTCAATTGTTAAAATAAGTATATTTAATTAATAAATGCTGTTCATTTAAGATGCATTAGACTAAAAAAAACAAAATTATTGTCAGTGTGCGTTTATTTCCAGTCAGGGACAACATTACTAGTATTTTGTTTACATGAAACCTATCTGTAAGTATTGAAACAATCCTTCAGCCAACGTTACTTCTTTTTATTTACATCATACATTATGACCAGTTAAGACCTTTGACCAAAGAATTAGGTACAAAAAATAATGTATAATAATGAGTATATTATATAAATGAAACATTCTTCTCTAAGTATAAATGTTTCTGAAAAATAAAGTCCAAATGGTAATGACAGTCACAAACATATAAGAACCATACAAAAGGCCCTGGATCGCTCACCTGAGAAATAGGTCAAAAGATTTAAATGAAGCCCCTTTCACCCCAGAAGATTTAATAGCGAAAATTAAAACATCGCAAAAAAGTACAGGATTTACAGTGCATATAAGGAAAATCAATGACCTCCTGGGCTAGGGCCAATTTTGAACCTAGGGGTAAAAGCAATGGATGCTCTTCTAACAGCACATTTGCTCATGACTATTTCGAGTGATAACTCTCTTAAATTTCTTTTAACTATGTAATGTAGATTTATGGTTATTTAACAAAGCACTTCCTCTTACTAGTCTCAATAATGAGGTATCATTGATATATACTCTGGAGTCTGGACAAGTATATTATCAAGCTTTTTTAGTATTATTAAGAGACATAATTTAAAAAATTAGCAAGGTTAAATAACAGTTCTTGTTACTGCATTTCCTCTCACTAGTCTTTTTCACTGTGTGAAGTTTTAATCAAATCCATTCAATAATTGTCAAATTATTCTCTTGACCACAGTGTGATGGACATACAGAAAAGATGGCCACAACTAGTATACAATGCTCTCCCTTCAGGGGGAATGATGGAATCATTACTTATCTACATGTAATTACTTTAACGTAAATGCTAAAAGTTATTATTGATTTGTTCATCAGAAAGTGACACAAGATGATTCAGACTGATTTACATCATATGATGTAAACATAATACGTCATTAGGATGTAGATATTCACAAGAATGAGGCATTTAATAATTTTGATAATAAACCTGACGTAGCTGAAAAACTGTCAAAACCTGTTAAAACAGGATTGTCAACGTAGACAATTTATATGATCAATGGACTTTGTTCCCTATAGCAACAGTTGTAACTGTAGTTCATTCACATACTGATGGGCAGTTACTTAAAGTCTCATTTAGCCCCAAAAAGCTCTTATTTCTAATACTTGTTGTCCAATTTCATTTTCTATAATGCTACTCATTCTAGGCCATATAGATGAACCATCTTTCCCTTTTTGGACATAAGTAAAGTTACTGTGAATTAGTATTTTGTATAATAGACAAAATATCACTTTTTCATAGTTTTGCAACTTTTATGACATACTATTTCACATGCAATTGGGCTACAAATAATAAACATCTCCATTACCAAATTACAGAACACAGACTTGCCTTTTTTCAGAGCAAAAATCATATTAATTTAATTAATTTAGCCTAATTTGCCTGTAACTAGAGTTCCTGGAATCTGTACTATATCAACTGCTTTCATACACAAATAACTGTCAACTTCTCAACATTAAAGTGTATAATGTTCAATGTAATTCATAAAATTTTTAAACCATTAATTATATTGTTTTCATAATCATTTGTTTGATTCTTGAATCAGCAGTTACATAGAATGCCCTGTCCCTGTTATTTAACACACATGTATATTGCATGTTAACAAAATAAAATGTTCCATCACAAATTATTATGCTGTCTTCAATAGGGTTTTAACTGTTTAGCAGTGATTCTGTGCATGTCTTTAGAAAAATATACAAACATATTTCTTTCATACACGTAATATTGAAGTTTTCTTTTTTAAAATTCAAAAAATTTCTGAAGCAGATATATACATGTAGCTTTGAAAAATTTTATGATGTGAAAGTGAGGGGAGTTAGATGGATGCAACTTTGAAAATGGTTCTTGACGAAATTGTTATTGACAAATGTGATGTGCAATGCCTTGAAACTTGAATTCTAGGTCAGTTCACCCTACAAAGCTTATCACACAGGTTCATTCCTACAGGACTTTTCATAATCAATTTTTAAAGCTGGTCACCATTGCATTTATGTTAATTTGCATGAAAATATCATGTTCAAAAAGAGACATTGTCAAGTGTACAATTATTTAAGTCAATTTTATGAAATGAGGCCCCATTTGGGTATTCAGGTTAAGCTCCCTGTAACAGGTATCACATAATATCATAATTGATAATCAAACACATCAAAAAACTGTTTGTTGGACAAGGCCATTTGGCAAGTTAAGAGTTAACACTGAAAACAATATAAGGGTTTAAATGCGACTCCATTACAAAAAAGTCATATCATGTACTAACCTGATCACTGGATAGATTCCATACACCACTAACTTTATCATAGACTTGTTCTTGTGGTAATAATCTAAGTTGTTTATTCTGTATAAGTGCACCTCTCAGCTTTAAATCTCTGTACAGTTTAGATGTTTCATACGCCCTGAAATCATTAACATATGGCATGATAACACAATACTACATGTATTACCATAAAAATCTTATAAATCACAATGTCAACGCATTTCCCCTACATCATCATGCTGTACTTATTTGTCTGAATTTGAATTATTCAATAACTCTTTTAGTGAAGCTTTTTTTAAATGTCAAACAAATTACATTTAGTGGTGGCATGACCAGTGGTCAAGGCTTTGGCTAAAAATTCTAAATTGCCAAATCTGCCCCCAAATTTTAAACCCCCTCTTTTAAAGGGACAATTTTGTTTCCCACAAAAAATTTTATTTCCATTTTCATTTTTGGTTTCCCAGAGAAGGGGATTTGAAAGTTTTGCCCGTAACTCATAGTTTTCAAAAAATTTTTGTTAAAATAAATTTGTATAAACCAAACAAACAACATTTGTAATTTAAAATTTTAATTTTAATACTTTTTCAAAAGTTCCCGGGAAAACAATGTAACCCTAAAAACTTTTTTTCCTTAAAGGGATTAGTAAATAAATATTCCCATGAACTTTATATCAAATTTATAAAATATTTTGTTCAAAAATTTTATATAAATTTAGACAAACAGAAAAGGATATGGTTTGATGGTCGGTTTGGAGAAGGGTTTACCGTAGTGAGAAAGTGATTTGGCAAACCTTTAGCTTTATATTTATTTATCCCGCTTTTTATAATGTTTTCTAGAATGAGAAATGGCTTAAAATAGCATCTATATGCAGTTTGTTTTGCGCTAAACGTGATGTCATCATGTACTAATATGACAGGAGACAGATAATTTTAATCCCAGCAAGGCTTATCCACTGAGATAATAGACAGTGGTGGATAAAATACTTATAACAAAATTTCATCAATTCTAAATGTGTAAAGAAACAAAACAAAAAACAAAAAAAACGAACAATTTTAAAAATAAAGAACAAAAAAACAAATAAAAACAAACACAACCAAACACAAATAATAAAACCATATAAAAGCCACAAAGAATACAAACAAGACAAAAAAAACAAAACAAAAAAAAAAGAAAAAAAAATACCAATCAGTAAAGTATGAACAAAAGCATATTGATATACTGATTTGATTTGTATATTATTTCAGTTGAGATATCATTTGTTTATGGGTTGAAGGTTTCCATCACAACTCTTCTTGCATCAAATGGAGCACTTTGTTCTTCTTGTTTTTTTTATCGTATGGTGAAAATTATACCAATGTTTAAAAAAACAAACCCCAAAAAAACCCCCAATTTTAAAATTTAAAAATTTTCCTTATTCAAAACAAAATTTTTATTAAAATGCATTTTTGTATATTTTTTTGCTAAAAATGTGATAAACAGAAAGGGTTTTCCATGGGACACTAAACCCCCCACACGCCACGTTCGGGTCAATTTTAAATAACTCTAGGTCTATTTTGGAAAAATGTGCCCACAAGTTTAAAACTAAAAATCAACAAAGACCTATAATTCTGTTTAAATTTGTATCAAAAAATTCCTTCCTTTATACCATCTACACATTAAGGGTTGTTAATCCCTTGGAAAAGTTCAGCAAAATCTGCCATCCCGGTTTTAAGAGGATTTGCGTTCAACAAAAATTCTACATAGTAATTAATGAAAAAAATCAACAAAGGCATAATTTCTGTTAAATTTGGTTGCAGCAAAAATTCCTCTCTTTACTGCCAATCAACACATTAAGTGTTGTTCATGCCCTGAAGTTTAAGTCAAAAATCTGCATCTATTTTGGTTTAAGAGGTAGTGAGTATTGCCACAAAATTTCTACATAGGTATATAGTGAAAAAAGTCAACAAAGGCCATAATTTCTTTTAAATTTTGGGTCGCAGGCAAAAATTTCCTCCTTTACTACCATCTACAACATTAAGGTTGTTCATCCCTGTAAGTTAGAGCAAAATCTGCCATCCGTTTGGGTTTAAGAGGAGTTGCGTTCACAAAATTTCTAAATCATAGTATCATAGTGAAAAAAATCAACAAAGGGCTCATAATTCTTTAAATTTTGGTCGCAGCAAAAATTCCTTCCTTTACTACCATCTACACATTAAGGTTGTTCATGTCCCTGTAAAGTTTAAGCAAAATCGCCATCCGTTTAAGAGGAGTTGCGTTCACAAAATTTCTACATAAGCTAGCTGAAAAAAAATTCAACAAGGGCCATAATTCTGTTAAATTTTGTTGCAGCAAAAAATTCCTTCCTTTACTGCCAATCAACACATTAAGGTGTTCATCCCTGGAAGTTTAAGCAAAATTTCTGCCATCCGTTTTAAGAGGAGTTGCATTCACAAAATTTCTACATAGTATATAGTGAAAAAAAGCAACAAAGGCCAAATTTTTCTCGTTAAATTTGGTCGCAGCAAAAATCCTTCCTTTACTACCATCTACACATTAAGGTTGTTCATCCCTGGTAAGTCTTTAGCAGCAAAATCTGCCATTCCGTTTAAGAAGGAGTTTTGTTCACAAAAAATTTCTACATAGTATATAGTGAAAAAAATCAACAAAGGGCCATAATCCGTTAAAAATTTGGTCGCACAAAAATTCCTTCCTTTTAACTACCAAATCTACACTTAAGTTGTTCATCCTTAATTTAACAAAATATCTGACTTTAATTTTAAAAAGAGGATTCGTTCCAAGCATTTTCGGGGACGTACGGAAACGGACGGACGGACTGACAGACTGACGGACCTGCGGACGGACGGAAAGGCAACGCCTATTATGCTCCCACATTGTGGGGGCAATAAAAATAAGATGTTTACTTGGCCAATGTTAAAACAACAAGACCAAATGCCCAAAATTTTAAGACAATTTTGGATGGAATATTTTCGCGTTGGGGTGGACTAACAGTTTCGGAAACTAACCAGTAATTACCAAATTTTCTCTGCAATTGAGGCCTACTAATCCACATTTCCATGGTTTTATCAGTGTAAAAGACAAATTGCCATTAAATCAATAACCCCAGAATTTTAACCCTGTTAAAGAGAAAAAAACTTCATCTCACTAAGGAAATCAAACCCATGTTTGTTAGAAAAACAAATCCAAAATGCACTCCATAATCAAGTTAACGGAAACTGACTTCTATGCTGATTAAATACTGAATGGATTTTATTAAATCAAAACAAAAAATAAACTAAAATTTAAAATTTTTGAGCCAGTCACAAAACAAAACCCACATAAGTGCGTTTGCCGACCAAGCATGGACCAAAACCAAAGCCCTGCCATCCCCGCAGACTGTACCGCGAATGCTCAGGAGCTGGTCTGATCACGGATCCCAATGCTGTTCGCTTCCAAACCTTTACAAAGTAGAGAAACGATAGCAAACAGCAATGGATCCTGCCAACTGGCGCGAAATGTTCAAGGCTGGTCTGGATCCATGCTGGTCGCAAACCCATTATGTTGGTTTTGTCATGACGCGGCTCATTTATCAAATAGATAGTGTTACAAACCTATGAACAGATATCACAGTGGTGAACAATCTCGGTGAACCAGGTATCTAAAACAGATAAAAAAGTAAAGTTTTTATTTTATCATTTTCTCCCATCAATTGTATTTTTCCTCTTAAATTGTTTTAATCATTACAGAAAATTTCTTTCATGAATATGTTGAATATTTTTCTTTTTCTCTCTGGAAATCAGCTTTAACAAATCTGTATTTTAAGACTATGATACCTTTAACCTCACATAAAACAAAACAAAAATTGTGCTTTAAAAAACTTACGAGATTTGTAAAGATGAACTCAAATCTTGTGTTGTTACATTTTGTCAAAACGTACAGAGCTTCTGTGGTACCACGTAATTTCTGAAAAACAATCAAAATTTTAATATCTATTACAAAAATAAATAAATTAACTATCATTTAAATAAAGTAAAATGGTTTGATTTTGAAACATGACTTTATATATAATCAAATCAAATTATATGCAATCAAATTTACATCATTAATAAAAAAAAATACATACAGTGTAAACTTGTTTTGCATTAGAACACATATGTAATTAAGAACTTATAATTTACCCAAACCAACAAAATAGGTTTCAATTAATCAAAACTTTGTTTTCTGTTAAATCTGCATTAAAGTGGAAAGGTTTGCACCTTTTCGATATTTTTTTAAATATTTATAAAAACAATAGGTGTATCATTTGGATATTCTTTTAAAAGTTGTTTGAAAAAAAAACACACAAAAAAAAACAATGTTTATATAGTTCTAAATGATTTAGAGTGAACATTTTTATGATAAAGAACAACATTTTTGTTGGTTCACCAATTAACTTATTTAGTGTCCACTTATAAAGATAATATAGTTGAATTCAAATGTATTTTCACTTGCCAGTATATCCATTGAATTTCTTTCTGAGGTTTTGTTGTTTGTAGTTACACTAAAATTTTCTTTCAACATAAATTATTCATTGTTATAACAGACCCTTTCCATTATTAGGATCAATTTTCACTTTAAAAAGTTAGAGTTGACTCAGAAGATTGTTGCTCACTTATTGACCAAATACTGATAAATGCACGTTGTATATTATCCCCAAATGACTAAATTTTTTTGTTAAAATGTTTTCCCAATAAAAATCCTAGGGCCCTGAAAAATTAAAAAAATAAAATAAAAGCCGCCCCCCACAAAACCAACATAGGGGTTTTGCAACCAAAACTTTAGATCCGCCCAAGACTGCGAAATCCAGAATTTTGTTTCAGGATCTGCTGTGGCCTATCATTTTCCTCAACTTGAAAAGGGGTTTTTTAACAGAGGGACCCTGATCAGCCGCAGGGAGCGCGGGGCTGGCTGGACCCCTTTGCCGGTCCAACCCTTTATGTTGGTTTTGTATGGAGGGCCCTAAAAATAAAAAAATTTTTAACGTCAAAAATTTCCCTTCTTTATTTAAACAGAAATGGAATATGGAATTTTATAAAAGGACTTTATCTCCTGCATTAAAAAAAGTAGTGTTTGTTCAATGATTCAAATATTCACTTTCAGGCCATAATTCTTAGGAAACAAACATTCTAACAACACAGATTAATAATTATCATAACCTTTCTGATAAGACTTTAGAGTTTCTATGTAGATGTTTTACCAGTGCATGTTGAAGGACAATGTTATACTTCTTAAATGAACTATCATAATCTTACACTACTATCTCAAATAGAATTATTCAAACACTCCTTCAGATGAATTTATTCATTTAGATTTACTATGAAGAGTTAGGTTTAAACTACATTACTGACATTAATACTGTAAAAGCTGTTTTGTGACTATTCAGCATTGCATATGGAAAAACACATCAGGTGTACGTCTTGGTATTTTTTTTCTGGCACAAAAACCAGCACCTGAGTAGAACCACAGACCTCAAGGAAGCTAGGTGAGTAGCTTCCTCACATTAAAGAATTAACAGTGATAAAAATTACTTAACATTTTATATGAGGCAGAAGGAGAATACTTACAAAGATTTACCCTGGGCATGTTGAGGGAATGCCAAATCAACCTCAAATTTTGTTAAAATTTTAGTTCCCCCGGGTAAACAAAAAAAATAAATAAGAAATTTTTTTCTAAATAAATTTCACTCAAAAGGAATTGCTGGCCATGTCGGTTCAAACCCGTCGGGGGAAACCCATTTTTTCCCTTGGGGCAAAAAAATTTCCCTTTCTGATTGCTTAGTAAAGGGTTGTTTCCAAAAAGGTTTTGTAGGATGTCAAAAAAGCTTTTTGCTTCCAAAACAAATTTTAAACTAAAACAAATTTAAATAAATTTTAAAAATTCCCTACAAATTAGTTTTTATATTTCATAAAATACAGTCTTTTCCAAGAAAAGAAATATGTTTTGTTCATATAAAAAGATTAATTTTCCTGTATTTTACACATTTTTATTAATAAATCATGTCATAAATGTGTATTGTCCAATTTGTTCTTATATTCATATATCTTTTCCAACAACATACCCAATTACAAACCTTGTGCTAAGTTTAATTATCTGTAAAATATAATTCTTTTTGTTTTGTTAAGATTTTCTTAATGTGTTGTATAGATTGTAGTGTACAATATATGGAAAATTACTTAAGTGTCTTATTGTGATGTTTTTAATCACTTTCGTTAATTGCATTTACCAGTATACAACTTGACAAAATCAATGTGAGTCATAAAGCAAAACAGAATAATATACCTAATGTGCAATATTCTTTTCATATCTATTTCGTAAGTTAACAAAAGTTAGAAACAGAAAACACAACAAGTCTGACATATTTAAGATTTAATTCTTACAAATTTGGGTTAGATATCTTGCCCTTGCTCAAAAGGATTTACAATTAAAAAAAAAAAACTTTTATAGGTATACATGAAGGCCAAGGTTTATCATGTTTGTCTATTTTGATCCTAAGACATTCAATTCTGTATATATTACAGGAACTCAAAAGGGGTTTCTTAACATTACGAGGCTGGAAATGTTTTTTCAAGATTTTTATATCATTTGATGCAGGTCTGGATAAATTACATATGTGCAAAATTTCAGATCATTCACTTACTCCATTATTCCAAAAAAAACTTATATGTGTGCAAAATGATGTAAAAAGATAGCAGCCTTTACATGCTTAAACTTGAAGCAGGCTAAAAATAGCACTTAATACTGATTTTGAATTAAATTCATAGGCCGTAATTTTCTTTACTATCTTTCTCATATTTTTATATTTGAGAGTCCCAGTTGATTTATGTGACAAATTTTATATTTTAGGCTTTTGAATCTCCATGGAGTTCATTTAAATCACAGTAATCAACAGTTTTATGCATTATACCTCTTTCTCCATTGTTGCCTTTAGTATCTTCAACAGCATCCATCTTATCTATCAACTTTTCACCTGGTCGCATTTTCATCTGACTATTGAAAAGAAAATAAAGGCAATTGTCTCTGAACTTAAAAACAGAAAAATATGATCAATTTCTGTTCTTAAAAGTAAACAAAAATGTCATTTTTATTCACACATGTACAAATTATGTCATACATGTACACAGAAAAACACAAAATAAATTACTAGCAGATTTCAGTCAGAGCTTAGACAAAAAAATTTGTGTCAACCAAAACGTGTCTAAGAACAGTGAAAATAAAATATGAAAACCTACTGAATTTAAAATAACACAGAGGAATACAACAAAATCATTGACTCATAAAACAAATGTGTCAAAAAGTATGGCAACCAAATTGAAGCAATCAAAAAACTGTTTTATTTTTTATAAGTAAAACATTTTACATTAATCAAAAATACTCTATATTTTAAAATTTCATTCAATCATTTATTTATTTGTTTATATGTTAAAGTATGTTTTTTATTACAATTTTGAGGTGGGGCAAATCATCGCTAAAATAGAACAATCATGTCAGTTGGGCTAATGTTACAGAGTGAGAAAAACATGCAGCCTGACCTGGCCTTGAACACAGGGCCCTTGGCATACCATTCCATGGATCTACATACTGAGCTACATGTCTGCTAGCTGGAATCAGCCCAACAAATTGTGCACCAGGGCTTTTATTTATATATATTTGTCCTTCATAAAGACCGATAATTGTTACTAATATCAGTTTGTAAAATACAATGAAGGTTGGTCTTCCAGTCGAAATACCAAGACTACATGTCTGCAAGCTTACATGTGCACTACACTCTATTAAACTTTACAGGTGAACAGTTCACAACCATGACAATTTGCAATCTATTATTAGTTCTGGCTTCCATAACTTTATATGTGGCTTTCATTTGTAGTTGCGCAGCAACATATCTCTAGCAGTATCTGTAGCAGATACAATAAAACAAGTTTACTTTCTCTTTAGCTGTCAGGTTATATGTCACGTACACATATTCTCCATAATTGATAAGTATTCTTTATGGTGACAATTATTTCTAATCTGTCACAGGGTGAGAAAAATGTGCAGCCTGACCGGGACTCGAACCCGGGACCCTCGGAATACCGTTCCGCGGCTCTACCGACTGAGCTGTCCGGCCGCTTACACATTTTCTTCCCTAATTAGTGAACAGTTCTGAACCGTGACATACTTCCCTGCTATATTGAAATTCGTCCTCGAATTTCACAGAGCTACAGAGCAATGTAAATTAAACTCTAAGCTATATCAGTCACGATCCCCCGTTGGGCGCCAAATGTCACAGGGTGAGAAAAATTAGACGCCTGACCGGGACTCGAACCCGGGACCCTCGGAATACCGTTCTGCGGCTCTACCGACTGAGCTATCTGGCCGCTTACACATTTTCTCCCCTAATTAGTGAACAGTTCTGAACCATGACAAATCTATAAATGTATAGTAATTGAAGAATCTGTCACGGTTCAGAACTGTTTAATATTTTGCAGAGAAGATGTGTAAGCAGATCAGTCGGTACAGCCTCTGTACCGTATTCCGAGGGTCCTGGGTTCGAGTCACGGTCAGGAACACATTTATCTCATTGTGACATTTGGCACCTAACGGGGGACGGCGACTGAATATAGCTCAGAATCTAGGGGAGGAGATGTGTATGCGGCCAGATAGCTCAGTCGGTAGAGCTGCGGTACGGTATTTCAAGGGTACAGGGCTCGAGTCCCGGTCAGGCTGCCCATTTTTCTTACCCTGTCAGGCTGTGACAAATCTAACAGTTTCTATTTTTGACGAGCCGTGATTTATCAGTTTATGTTCCTGTGACTGCAAAAGAATAGAAAATTAAAATTCTAATAACTTACTTAGGGTTTATGTCAAACCTGACATCCCTGTCTTCCCAAAGACCTTCTGATGTCATTTTTGTTCTAAAATTACTTTCTGTCAAAAAATGTTTTCCTTAGCAATGGCCGCTTACAACATATTTTAAAGCAGATCTCACGATCAAGAATTTTTACGGCGACACCGTAAATTTGCAAATTTCACACAATTTCGCGAAATTGCAAATTCGTGGCAAGCACATTTAAGAGGTTTAAAGGTTGCTAGGTAAGAGAAAATTCGTTATGTCAAATGAAAGTATAAGAATTTATGCCATAGTTTCAAGAAATCTGTCCATATAGTGATGACAATGTAAAATTTTTAGTAAATGACAAAACGTTAATCAACTTTTAGGCTTAAGCAGTGTCAAGTATATCGTACTCCCCGCGGGTACCGCGTCCTTGCCAATTCCGATGTAATCAGAAAATTTGTTTCTTTACACATTGAATGCCACCAAATACTGTTTCCACCATTAAAGTGAAAGTGCTGCTTTTTGTGAATTTGGATAGAATTAGAAATTGTTAGAATTTTTTTCATTTCAAATAAATTCTGTCATTGATAGGAAAATCCAAAACTGCCGGTGTGTGTTAAAAATACTTCTTTATTTTACCCCATATTTAACGGTTAAACTTATAATTTCATGTTCCGACAAGTGAAGGTCATCTGCTGAAACTGTAGTGACATCTTATTCTGTTACAAAAAATTATACTGAATCCAAAAAGGGCCATCAATTAACATACCATGGTACCATAGTGCTCTCCGTTTAAGCTCCCATTCAAAACATGGCTGACTGACCCTAGATGTTTCTAATTTAAATCATGGAGTTATTTTATTAATGACATAATTATTTTAATGTCAAGATGCGACAACAAAACACAATTCAATAAAATAGTAAATACAAGTTCTTTTTATTTGTACAATTTGCTGGAAATAATAAGAACAGTGGTACCATATCCTAGGGGACCATCCTAAATCAAAAAAGATCATATTAAAAGTTATTTACATATGAATACTTTAATCTTTATGTAAAATTTCTGTACAAGTTGGCTGAAATTCAACAGTTAAAAAAGCTCTTTTACCATCTTGGAAAAGCACAACCTTCTGTAAAACTGAATTGGCCTCTTAAAATAAACTCTGGAATTCTACTTTTTATTTAAGCCAAGGAAGTGATTGTTACATGACTATCACATGTCATTGAAGTACACTGTAGGATGCAGCTACCTAGAGCTGTCATTGATGCAAGGAAGCCTTTTTTCCTCTATTTTGTGAAAATACCACTTGGGAAATTTGTGTTGTAAAATTTCCCAATTTGGGAAAAAAGTTATCATGAAAAATGCCAATTTGGGAAAATATGCTATCATTCAAGATGTTACAATTGTTAAAATAAACATGATAAATCTACTTAAATCTTACTTAAACTGTTCAGCTTTTTCTGTCATATCAAAAATACAAGGACAGGCTAGAATGTGTATATGTACAAATGTAAAACTGATATCAATTAAAAATCCTGTTTTTATTTCGATAATTATCAATTTTTTGAAATGTGTATCAATTATTGATCGACAGAAAAATATCAACGTTACATCGATATTGTTTCTATCGATGACAGCTCTACAGGTACCTGCTCAAAGTTTATTGTTAAACACAGCAATGCTTAGCTGCAGCTTTTTCTCACAATTTCTCCATCCACAGCTGCCTGTGAGAGACTTTTCTCAAATGAATCTTGTCAAAAGTCCTGTTAGAACTCGCTTTACCCACAAAAACCTGCAGAATCAAATGAGAATTGTTGTCTCTGGTCCATATTTCTCCGAGTTTGAAGAATGGGTTAAGCCCATGCTATTTAAAGTGTAATTGTGAAATCCGTAGGTTGGGAAGACATTGCAACAATTCATGATTCGAAATCTGTTAGCTACAAATTGTCCTGTTACCATACGAAATACCTTCCTAGGATATTGTACTCCCCTAGCAGTATATTGCATACATAAGAATATTGATGATAATGATATTGATTCAACAACAATCTTAATTTTGTTTCAGATATGGCTGATTTTCACAAGCCTGGTGTAGCGAGGCTAAAGCCAGAGTAAGCTATTTTTATAATTTTTAATTGAAGTTTGTCCTCAATAAGTTTACCTACCTGATTAATGAGTATTGTACATGTCACATGCTTTACAAAGTAACAAATGAAATACCACCCTGTTTAAATAATATATCTATGCTATGTGTCAGTTGTTAAAGGGTGTGACATTAATGAAATTTACATAATAATGATTATTGTGTACTTTGTTTTGTCACCTGATGTAATAATATAAACATTATATGGCATATTTAGGGGGAATGATCAAGCTTGCTGACTTAAAACCACTGTCCCTTCAATCTGTGGGTAGGAATCCTTCAGGGGACTTTGAATTCTTTCCTTCCATATAAAGAAGCTGTCCTGTTTAGTTAACAGAAGTTCTATGGTTTTACCCGGGTACATGCATATGCTTGAAAATAGGGGCGTGGATCGTCGGGTAAGTGACGATCCGATCTGATCCATGATTCAGCACATGCAATTCACAAATCGAACCACAAATCTTTTGTTATCAAGACACCAAAAAAAACATGAACATTAGTTCTGAAAACATGTTAATTTTTCTTAAAACAATACTAAACATTAATTTAATTATTCATTAAACATATATGCAATGCAAATATAAACTAGGTTGAAAACAAGTCTCCCCAATATAAAATTCCACCAGCAAAATTTACTTTCAATGAAAATGAGGAAAAAGCAGTTTGTAAAACATGCCATGGCAAATTGACTTATATAGAGGGGGTACAACAAACTTGCCTAATCACATGAAAAGACCAGTATTTCCAAAAATTGGAAGTAAATTTTGCTGGTGGGATTTTTATATTGGCGCGACTCCTTTTCAGCCAATACATGTAATGTCACACTGACGTATTAACTTGCGTTTAGCAAATTGTGGATTCCTAGAAATAAAACAGTCTTCAATAGATTTCACGTCATTATAGATCTATACATAGCGACTAAAATATTTAAAAACAAGTGCTCAATAAAGATAAAGTGATTCCTTTTTCGAAACTAATGACTTCCTAGCTCAGCATCATGGTATACATGTTTGTTTAGTTCCTGTCTTTATTTAGGTAAACGTCGCATAATTCATACACAAATTGATTTTTTTTTTGACATTTAAAGTGTAAAAAAAGAACGAATGTATAATAAACAAATAAGATCACAATCCACGATATCTGGACTGACGAATATTCATACTCGATTTTTCATTTTGATTCGTGATTATCCGAGTACTCGAATACTCGCCCCAGCCCTACTTGAAAAGCTGGAAAGTGTATATGACTTTAACAGTGTGCTTAAAACAGTTAAAAGAAAAAACTACATAGACATACATTTATATTTGATTATCAAGAATCTGCTCAAAATATTTGAGAAAACATCTTGACTTTGTTTCTTCAGGTTTGTTCTGGCAGATTACAGGCCGAAGATTGACACAGAATATCTGTCCCAGGAAACCAAAGATGAGATGGCAGAGTTGGACAAAGATAAGGAAGCTGGAGATGAACCACAAGCAAAACGCATAAAATTAAAGGTATTTATAATGTCCTGTATATGTGGTCAACATTAGAAAGGTCACAGTGTCAGATGTGGAATTCATTGTAAGGTCAAAGGGTCGAATAAAACAATCGTAAAATTGCAAAATGCAGGTAATTAATGAAAAAAATTAAGCAGTTTCTCTTTTAAAAAAAAATTTCAAGGGCTTAAATTGTAAATATTCATTAATTGATGGTAATACTGCTTGAAGACCTTGTTAAATACATGTTATTTTTATTATTATTATTACCTAATGCCTTCTTTAAAAACTAATTCCTTATTTACAACTGTTTAATAGAACCGCTGAAATCCTATGCATCCACAGTGATGAAATGTACTGTTGACCGGTTCGTTCTCTGGCAACAGTTCCAAATGTCATTCCTGATACTTCATGGTAACAGTTTTGACTGTTCCACAAATATCCATGAAATAACTGTATACTTAATGATTCAATGAAATACATTGAACATGTTAAGTAAAGTATAATATATTTCAGGGTAGAAACAAAAAGAGACCAATCGTTGGCAAGAAGAGATTGCCGGCAGACAAGCTATGCCCTGCTATTGTCCAAGAAAGAGATTGTCAGTTTGGTGAGAAGTGCAAATTTAACCATGATCTTAAAAAATATCTAGATGAAAAACCACCTGATTTGGGAGAAGAATGCTATCTGTTTGAAACATATGGTAAATGCCCCTGTGGTGTTACATGCAGATATGCAAAACCACATCTTGATAAGGATTTTAAGAATATCACTAAACCAGGACTGGAAACTATGGAGAAAAAGACGGACACTGTATCTAACGTACTGACCAAGGATCTACAGCATTTACTTTGGAAGAGGAAATATGACTTCTCAAAAACAGATGCAGTCCTAGAGAAGTTATGTCCCTCAGCAAATCATCAAAAGAAACTTGCAGAATCCTACTTGAAAAAACAGGAAACCAAGAAGGCAGAGTCTGAAATTGCAGCAGAAAGGTCCGAGAATACTGAACCTGAAAACAAAAATGCTGCCTCAAGTCAGGTGGAAAATGGAAGTAATGACAGTAATATACAAGTTATTAACAGTAAGCTTGATATTCCTCCAGCTCCAATTAAAAAGGTACCTATACTTTTGTTTATATACAGTTATGCTTGATTTACTGTATACTTCTATTCAGGTCCAAGATTTCGATAGGTTATATGGCTAAGTATAAATGGTTGAAAGCATGACACTTGGTAAAGGTAATATAGTGAACATATTGATTAAAAATTTATGATATTTCTATAGATACTGCACATTTGCCACAGTTGTTTTTTAGCTCGACTATTCAATAAGAATAAGTAGAGCTATTGTAGTCACCCGAGCGTCGGCGTCTGCGTCGGCGTAACCACTTATGTTAAAGTTTGTAATAGTTCAAATATTTTCAAAGTCCATTGATGTATGGCTTTGAAACTTTACACACTTGTTCACCATCATGACCCCAACCTGTAGACAGGAGGAGGTAACTCTATCAAGCATTTTGACAGAATTATGCCCCTTTTTCGACTTAGAATTTACGTTAAAGTTTTTGTAATAGTTCAAATATTTTCAATGTCCATTGACTTATGGCTTTGAAACTTTGCACACTTGTTCACCATCATGACCACAACCTGTAGACAGGAGGAGGTAACTCTATCAAGCATTTTGACAGAATTATGCCCCTTTTTCAACTTAGAATTTACGTTAAAGTTTTTGTAATAGTTCAAATATTTTCCATTAGTCCAATAGTTCAAATATTTTCAAAGTCCATTGACTTATGGCTTTGAAACTTTGCACACTTGTTCACCATCATGACCCCAACCTGTAAACAGGAGGAAGTAAGTGTATCAAGCATTTTTTGTGTCGCCTTGAAAAGGTGACATATAGGGGTTACTTGCGTCGTCGGCGGCGGCGGCGGCGTCTGTGTCGGCGTCGTTGTCGGCGTCGTCGTCGGCGTCCCCTAAAGCTTGTCCGGAGCATAACTCAGTCACTATAAGTCTGATTGACTTCGAACTTGGTATGCATGCTTCTTTCAATAACCCGAAGTGCAGTGCATAAGGACCGGTACTCTGCAGTTCTTATTTTTTGAGTTATTGCCCTTTGTTAATTTTCATACTTAAATTTGTCCGGGCCATTTCTCTAAAACTAAAAAAGCTATGGACTTAAAACTTCATAGGATGATAGATTAAGAAGAAGTGCAGTGCACAAGAACCGGTACTCTGCACTTCCTAATTTTTGAGTTATTGCCCTTTGTTAATTTTCATACTTTATTTTTGTCCGGGCCATTTCTCCTAATGTATAAAAGCCATGGACTTGAAACTTCATAGGATGATAGGTCTCATTAAGAAGAAGTGCAGTGCACAAAGAACAGGTACTCTGCATTTCTTATTTTTTGAGTTATTGCCCTTTGTTTATTTTCATACTTTAATTTTGTCCGGGCCATTTCTCCTTAAGTATAAAAGCTATGGACTTGAAACTTCATAGGATGATAGATCTCATTAAGAAGAAGTGCAGTGCACAAGAATCGGTACTTCTGCATTTCTTAATTTTTGAGGTATGGCCCTTTGTTGATTTTCATACTTAATTTTTGTCCAGGCCATTTCTCGGAAAGTATAAAAGTTATGGCCTTGAAACTTCATAGGATGATAGATCTCATTAAGAAAAAGTGCAGTGCATAAGAACTGATACTCTGCATTTCTTATTTTTTGAGTTATTGCCCTTTGTTGATTTTCTTACTTTATTTTTGTCCTGGTCATTTCTCCTCAAGTATGAAAGCTATGGACTTGAAACATCATAGAATGATAGATCTTATTGATAAGAAATGCAGTGCACAGATATGCTGCTCTGCACTTATTATTTTTTTTTAGTTATTGCCCTTTGTTATTTTTCATATTTCATTTTTGTCCTGGCCATTTCTCCTAAACTACATTGTTCACAAGGCGACACATCCGACTCGCGGAGTTCTAGTTTTTACTATCAAGCACTAAGAATAGTCGAGCGTTGCTGTCCTACCGACAGCTCTTGTTTTTTTTTCCTAAAAAAGAAAATAATTCATAAGTTTACAGCTATGTACCTTTGTATATTTATAATATTAAGGCTGGGAATGTCAAATGACAATTGACATTGCAAAAAATGCATTTTTATATAGTTTTTTCTTACCTGTTAAATAATAATGACCAAGGAAGTATGTATGTATTTTGCCTGTTGGAATAATCACGATTTTGAATTTCTCATGCGGAAAACATTTTAAATTTAATTAAACACAAAACACTGAATTTATTGTGGTGGTAAAAGAATCCTTAATAAAATTGAGTCATATAAATGTTTAATGTTGTTTTAAAAGATCGTGAAGGAATATTGTATTTGCAATTAGCATTTTAGATGTCAGTTCAATTTTAAATTTAGCAAATGAGTTGAAGTAAAAGACTGTATGTTCTAGTCATGATTGTTTTCAGTATACATGTATGTGTATTATTTATTCACTTTATTGAGACATAATGTAAGATGACAAGCAACTGTTGTCTATAATTATTGGTCTTACAGTGATTTTTTTTCACTTAATTGGGAAGAGGCCTTTGTCGCTAAAATTGCTAATTTGGGAAGAAAAAAGCGGGTTTCAGTTAAGATTTTTGGGAAAACTGCATGATTTTAAAGAAAATTTCAATTGGGAAGAGGCCTTTTATCGGAGTCTGTAATATAAGCAGGAAAATCACTGGTCTTATATTGAACTCCAGTAGACATTCTATTGATTGATATGATAAATGTTTAAAAGGTTTTTTTATTACAATAAATAACATTGATAAATTTTCATAAAACTTATTCTAAGTCAATTTTAATATGTATGCGACTTGTTACAGAGAACTTACTCAAACATATGGATCTTAGCATTTGACTTAATCTGCTAAATGTATATTAACCGTTTATTTAAGACACCTCTGTTATATGGACGACAAAGGACAAGCGTTTACACCATATGATCCATAATAGTATCAAAATGGTGCAGTGGAACATAATGTGTCAGGAACTAAGAATGTGTGGAGGAATATATTAGCGATTAACCAAGTAATTAGCCAAAATGAGTTATAATTGTCATCATATCCAACTATCTATCGACTAACCACACCAACGATAAATGCTGCTTTTGCGGACCAGCATTGAACTCCAGCGATCACAGACAATCTCGAACCATCGCGCGCACCAAGTTACTTATCAGCCGAACCACAATGAAACTGCTATACCGCCTAGAGCAGACTGCCATCCATAACAAGAAAAGAAACTCGATATTCAGAACGAGACCAGTGCGACTCCTGATTCAACTGCCGGTCAGAATGCGCCAGGTACGTGTGTCTGGATCAACACATAGACCTAGTGGTGTTTATTCTAGCAAACGCGACCCATATCAACCGTATCGAGTTATTGTCGTGGAAACAGCGGACTCTATGTTGATTATCACTGTAAATATATTATGTCCCTAATGCTAAATACAGAATTAGATACATCTCCATGAAATGAATGATTGCTCGAGCATATGAATTGACTTCACGATTAATCATCATGAGACACAAATACTAAAGTAATAAATGAAGTTTATCTTGATATGTATTATAGTTTGCTCATCTACTGGACAAAACTTATTGGCACCCAACTCAACTAACCGTTAAGAGTCACCTATAGGAGTCCACTATAATAATGCTACCACATCACTATCATGTTTGTATACGATGCTAACCACATGTTACTGCAATTAGGTCTACTGGTAAATTCGAAACATTGTCGAAGTATAGCAACTTATATAATATACATAACCATAAATGCCCTTACGACATGATAACGTAAATGTATAACAGTTAATCAGTATATAATGCTCTTCTTTCAATCGTGCAAAAGTGTTAAAGATATACACAAACTAAGAGAGCCACTAGCGCCAACATATTGTATCATGCTTTAATTGTGACCTACCACTACTATACGAGGCGGCATTAAAAGATCTTACACTTGTACCGTCACAAGTCCGTTCCCTTTTTGTGTCGCATTTAGCCCAAAAAGTAATTGACCTAGAGTCATGAAACCTTACAGGAATGTTGCTCAGCATAATATTATGTAGTTGTGCACCTGGGTATTTTCGTGTGGATATTTTTTTAGTATTTTTAGAGTTATTGCCCTTGACTTAATAAAAATTTCCAATTTTCAACTTGTGTCGCAAGTAACTAAAAATGTATTTGACCTAGAGTCATGAAACCTTACAAGAATGTTGCTCAGCATGTGTAGTTGTGCACCTGGGTATTTTCGTGTGGATATTTTTAGTATTTTTAGAGTTATTGCCCTTGACTTAGTAAAAATTTACAATTTTCAACTTGTGTTGCACGTAACTCAAAAAATGTTTGACCTACAGTCATGAAACCTTACAGGAATGTTGCTCAGTATGTGTAGTTGTGCACCTGGGTTTTTTTGTGTGGATATTTTTAGTATTTTTAGAGTTATTGCCCTTGACTTAGTAAAAATTTAAAATATTTACCTTGTATTGCACATAACTCAAAAAGTTTATGAACTGTAGGCCTGAAAGTTTACAAGAATGTTGGTCAGCATGTGTACTTATGCACCTTGGGGTTTTCTTGTGGCTTTGTTCAGTATTTGTAGTATTTGCCCTGTACTTAATGAAAGATTTTTAGTTTTCAACTTGGGCACATGTAGCCAAAAAAAAAATTTGACCTAGAGACATAAGATTGACAAATCGGTGGAGTGTTGGGGCACCCGTGTCCTACTGACACATTTCTAGTTTTTGTTCCCTCTGATAAATTTTCTCCACATCACATGTTGCTCAGTCTTAGATATCAGCATGTAATCTAAAAATGTACTTCTAGGGATGATAATTATTAAAATGAAAGGGTTATTATAAGCAATTTACTATTTCCCAGTAAGAAAAGGTAATTTAGCAGAAGCATTGCAGTGGTCTCATCCTCATAGTTAAATCTTTTTTATGTCCCTGGGCATATACAGTCAAACGTGTATAAAGCGAACATGCAAGGGAAACACCAAAAATGGTTGCTTAGTGAAATGGTTGCTTAATGGAACGGTCTCTTAAGACACGTGAAAAAAAAAAGTCAAAATTTTTACATGACATCTTTTTTTTGCCGTGGGAATGCTTTCAACTTCATTTATATAAATCTTTAATAGTTAAAACGCTCCGATAATCTAAATAGATGCTAATATAAAAAAATAACTCTCTGATATTAATTGACAAAACAGTTTTGATCCATTATGTGCATGTTTGATATTTTTCCAGAATTTTTAAACATTTCCGTTGCTTTTCCTTGTCTCCAACATGAAGACTGTAATAAGTGTAGATGTTTTCTGTTGTGCATTTTTCTTTTGAAATAAACAAATTTACACATCTATGTTGATGTGTTGCGCTCCAGAATCCGGTCCCTAGCTCAAAGGTCAAGGACACTCTTGTAAATCAAAATACAAAAATACTACTGGGCCGTGCTTGGAGAGCATTTGTATATTTCATGACCCTCAAAATAAGCTATGTCTAGTTGGTGTCATGTTCATATCATTTAACAATACTTAATAATGTTAGTTGTTTCAAGTTAAAGATAAAAAAAAATGCATTGAAATCTTTTAAATCTTACTCATTTACAAATTCAAAGCAAATTAAGCGCCAGCCAGCATAGCTTTAGAGTTTGAGACTTGTAATCCCAAAATTTTGGGTTTGATTCCCAGGCTGGCCAACTAAAATTTCTACAGATGAGACTTTAAATGGAAATCCTGTGTACAAGTGTTACTTGGCACCTTTAAGAACCAGGGGAAGATTCTAGAATTAGGGCATTTTTCTGTATCTGTATCTTGCACTATCCTCCAAAATATAAAATGACTAATACTCTGCTGGAGGCCTTGCCCATATGGGCAACCGGTGATGAGAAAAATAAGCTCAACAAGCAGAACATATCCATTTCAAGTAAATATATTTTTAGCAGGTGATTGAAAAAATCATGTTAATTGGCTTTTCGTTACAATTTAAGTCTTGCTATTTTTCCTTGTAATTCAATTTCAGGTAGGTAATCTCCCTTTCCGTCGTATATGTAAACAGTATGGTGCAGACATTACATGTGGAGAAATGGCGATGTGTACAAACTTGCTTCAAGGTCAGCAGTCTGAATGGGCACTTCTTAAACGTCACAAGTCAGAGGATTTGTTTGGAGTACAGGTATGACATAAAAAAAGAGAGACTTAGTTTATACAAATTCTGTTTAAGTTTAAATGTGTTGAAAACTATAAGCTTATTAAAACACTCTTGAATCCATACCACAAACCAAACAGTACTAAGAAAGAAGTTTAAAGTTTCTTGTTCAAGTAAACAATGGCTTGCCCCTGACGGTGTTTTTACCCACATGGCCAGCGATCCTGTGATTTCTAGTCTGATGTGTTAATCACTTAACCATGTTGCCACAGAGATTTCAATATTGAATATATATCGTCGGTTTGTCCATTACTTATTAATGTTGCTATATTAAAAAGCACTTTTCGGAACTCTGCTGAAAGTTAATAAACAGCTCAGAAATAATATGAATTTAAAGTACTTCTACCCTTTGACTTTTGAAGTAAACAAAAACAGGGGATTAATTTTTGTAAAATGACATTCAATAAGAAATATTTGACATGACATGGAAAATAAAATTTATTTCAGTAATATTATGATTGAATAATATGATTATAACAAAGTTTAACTTTTGTGGCTAAAACTAAATACTTCCAATGTCATTGTATTATAGACCTTCCATTTTAGACCAATTAACTTTAAAATGTTCAAGGGTTATCAAAAAAAAGGGTAGAGAATGATTGAAGATTCCCTTGTCGAATGAACTGTTTTCACAGAAAAATATGAAAAGTACATTGAGATACTTTAATATAATTCTTGGTACTAGGAGTCTGTGGTCTATTAATCATGGTAGCACTGCTTCTCAGTGTCATAAGAGTATATTGCCGCATAAAGTAACAAGCACTGGTCAGTTCCGAGACGCATGTATACACAAGAGTGGTTCAAATAAATATCCAGCATTTATATCCAAGCTAAAATAGAAAATATTTTAAATTACATGTGAAATTTTGAATGTATATGTAAATATTTTATTACCAAGTACCTGCCAGCATTGAGATTCTGGTAAATGAAAAATGCCGTTAAGGTACATGTACCTTACAGAAGGGTTGTGGTTCTATTCAGGAATTGGGTCTACAATAATGCATGAAGAAGATGTTGAGGTTTTCCTCTACCAGTAAAGCCAGATAGTTGCCATACAAACATCCCAAGTAAAAGCAAAAGGAATAGCATAATTGTTTCAAGAATTAAGTATGTTTTATTTTGAACTTAATCTTTGACTCATATATTTTAGCTATGTGGTGGTTATCCAGACTCTATGACTAGGTGTGCTCAGCTGATCTGTGAAAATATTGATGTAGACTTCATTGATATTAACTGTGGATGCCCTATAGATCTTATCTTTAATAAGGTATGGTAGAGGTTTTATTTTCAACTTTAATTAGAGATTCTTTATAATGTATTTGAATTTTTTTAGCTTGATGTTGAGTTTCTTGTTATGGTATGTGATGAGATAATTATCTTAAAGGCCCATTTTAATAGGACTGAGAATAGGGTTTATTATGCTTTAAATCCATTATGATATACATTCAAATACATTCAAATAAATACTAAATTTTAGAGATTGTATTGAAATGATATCTTAATTTTGAGGTTAGATTACACTGGCATAGAAGGCAAATTTTTATTGAATCAAGAATTATTGTTTCTAAACCATGGTTTTATTATAAGTAATAAATGAAGACTCAGATATTCATTAAATTAATATAACAGTTATTCAGAAGTTTTAGCTTAAATTTATTCATCAGTTGCCTAAAAATAGTTTGGGTTTTTGTTGCTTTTTTTTAAATATATATAATTATATAAAAGTAACTTGGCCTGTTAAGCTGGTATGTGTTGATAAGAGAATATGTTTTATTTATTTTTGACAATGGAAAAGTTTTATGTTTAATTTTGAGTTTAGCTATAAAGGAAATTAAGTATCATTTTACTCCTATACTCAGTTGATTGTGGAACAGCAAAAAATACAGGCATTAAAGCTTTAGAGGACAAACTGTTATTACGCAGTTTCGCAGTTTTTTTCTTCTAATATTCAACATTTCCTTTGGTATTTACGTCATATATGACATTTTCGAAAGTTCAGTATATTGTTATAACTTGTCTATATTACTCAGGAAAGACATTGTATGAATTTGACTAAGGATTAGAAAGAAAATAAGAATGGCCACCTTGTCCAGCCATGAATTGTTTGATCTATGGTCCTTTTTGTGGAGGTAGATCATGGCAAGTGGATGACCCCTATTGATCATCAGGTCAGAAGGTCAATATCACAATGACCTTGACTTCAGGCCTATAACTACAAAATATTTTAATCTACAGTCCTTAGATTTGGTGGGAAAGTTGGTCATGACGTTAAGATGACCTCTATTGATTTTCAATTCAGAAGGTCTAAGGTCTAGGTAACTGTTACCTTGAGCAAAAAAGCTTTTAAAAATGCTTGTCTGATTGGTAATGTAAGAACAAGTTTGCCTACAGATCCAAGATTTGGTGGAAAGATTGGACATCTTATCACAGCAGTTAAGAAGTCATGGCACAAAACTGCAAAACTGTATTCTCTTTACCATTTCTATCAAATTTAAGCTTAACATTCAAAAACCTTGGTAGGGCTGTAGCGGCCATTCAGATACTCAGATATTTGCAATTCAGACCTTGACAATACTGATGGGATATATGTCACACCTAAAATCACTGGATTGTAATTCACTTACTTTAATAAAAAATTGTTATTAATCTTAAAATAATGCATTAAACCTTCATTAACTGTTTAAGTTTGTCTAGTTTACATGTCTCCTGCATTACATCCAAATCATAATACACTGTTCCAAATCATAATACACTGTTCCAAATCATAATACGATTTATATTTAGGGTGAGGGAAGTGCATTGATGGGAAGACAGAGTAAGTTTGAGCAGATAGTTACTAGTATGAAATCTGTGATGAATGTTCCACTCACAGTGAAGATGAGAACTGGTATCCATGACAACAAGAATATTGCTCACACTTTAGTGCCACACCTCAAAGATTGGGGTGTTGCTATGACAACAGTGAGTTGTCATTACTTTCTTACTTGAGTTATGCTTTCTGAAAATTTTGAACAAAACAAATGTTAATTGGTAAATATTTGTGTAAAATGTTTTAGCAAAGTTGGGGTAAACTAAACAGAAATAACATATGGTATATTAAAGATATCTCTTGATATGAATTAGTTAAGTTGACTTAAATGAAAAAAGCTTATTGATAAAAAAACAAGTGCCAACTGGCATAATATGTGTGATTAAAGGTTTTTGACTTCAAATCGCTTGCTCCTTAAAGTGACATTATGCTCATATTTTCATAGTCAAGTTGAGCTGAATTGACTTTTTATTTCAAAAGATTGACTGTTAAAATGGTGTTTGACCAACAGTTTATTTTGGAAAATGTTTAAGATAAAATTTAAAATCTGCCTAAAATATAAAAAGACTGCCCCACTCTTTTTATAAACTGAACGTTTCAGGTAAGTTCTAATTGATATTTACAGAAATTCCGTTTCGATCCGGGGGTTATTTATTGTTTATATGAAGTAAATTATTAAATTAAAAGGAATTATGGCTATATAAAAACTTATTTTGACTTTCACCTGTTCACTCACTGTATACCCTTGAATGAGCATAATGTCACTTTAATGCTGTGGGTTTGAAAAGTGCCAGGGACTTTTGATTCTCCCTTTTGAGGAAGCAAGCCAATACGCTTATGGAATGTTGGTGATTCCACTTATGTGATGTTTGAGTCTGAAATTATATCCAGACAGCCACCTGAAGTCTTCCTCCACCAGCAAAACTGGAAAGATGGGTGGAAAGAAATTTTTTATTTGCCCTCGTGAATTGGTATAGTAGTCTTACCCATGAGGTAGAAAAGATTGTTTGTTAGTCAAACTAGCAATGATTCATTCTTTGGACAAGATAAATCATTCCTTTTATGTCAGTTTGGAGAGTACATTTCCATATTTTACTCTTTCTTTGTTAATCCTTGGCTTTCTATTTAGAAATATTAAACATTCACCAATTATAACTTAATTTTGTTGGCATGATATATTTTTGTCAGTTACATGGACGATCACGTACACAGAGGTATACAAAGACAGCTGACTGGGAATATATAAACAACTGTGCTGAAATAGCAGATCCTATGCCTTTATTTGGTAAGTTTGAGTAATTTATTAATGCAAAGTTTTATCTCATTCCTTAACAGAAGTAGGAAATTTATCAGTTTTGGGACGAATGTTCAATATAAGGTTTCCTACCTATAACACTGGTATTATTGGCTGTTGCTGTTGCTATTTCACATTATGAGAATGTCAATGTTTGGTGGTATTAAGACAATAGATGGTACCCCCACTTAGCTAAAAGAGCAGGCATCGACACTAACTTTTTTAGCAGGTGGTATGCCGGACCACTAGATTTGAAAGTTAGGTGGTCCTTTCAGAAGTCAGGTGGTCAGTTATCATTATTATATCATTTTACTGCAAATGTAGAAGAAAAAAGTTTAAACTTGATGACAAAGATGTATTATTAACCTTTAAAGAAAACAGATATTTTTAGATAATATATTTTTCATCTAATCAGAAAAGGGAGAGCAAGTCAGTAGGTATTTTATCGTAGAGTTATTTGTTTGTTTGTTTTTATCTCATTCAAAAATACACAACAGATCTCTTATTTCTGTTAACTTTTATGTTGAAGTGATTTCTCCCTCAACTTAAGATAGGGAATAGTGAAGCAATTTGTATCTGTTATTTACTTACTGTTATTCAAATATTCATTGCTGATATGTGGTACATCCTATAATCATGACAGTAACATAGTATCTTTTATAGATTAACATTTGTAATGAAACTAATAAATTATCTTATTCTTGTCTTTGAAACCAAGGAAATATCTAAATTATTAAAATAATAACAACGTTAACGTTATATATAACTATAGTTTATCTTATTTTTCTCACAGATTTATAATACAGAATTTTACCTCCCTGTTGCTTGTTGGTTGATATTCATTTTTGACATTGGGTATTTTTAACCTTTTAAAATAATTATAACTCTAGAAGAAATAGATCTCTTATCGTTATACAGTTAAAATAAAGATAAATAGCATAGAATTACTAGATGTATTTTTTCTGTTCCTTTCGTTTGCTGCCGTTGTTTAAGTATCTGAAATTTAAGTTTATCCGATATCATATAATTACCATCATAGGATACTCACGGTTGATTAACATGTAACATAACATAAATGTTAATGGTTCCGCCATGGATATCAGACGATGCATAATTACTAGCACCATTTGAATGAATTTTGTACCTAGTAAATTAATATCACAAATTCTTAACTCTTTTAACTTGCATAAACAAAATTTTAGCGACTTAAAATGAAAGTCATTGATGACCTCAAAACTTAATTAACTAATCAGAGATTAATGAACCATATACATGTACATCGGACACATGATTTTAAACAAAATAATATAACATGTTTATGACCAAATGGCCATTCTCCCAAAATGAGCCTTGCATCAACCAGAAAATTCAAGTGGTCCGACGGACCAGTTGTTTTTAAAATCAGGTGGTCCTTGCCAAAATCAAGTGGTCTCGGACCAACGGACCACCGCTAATATCGAGGCCTGAAGGGTGAGCATTGGATAAGTCATCCAGGGGTCATATGTTAGATTCTTGGGTTGACGAGATTTCTCAATGACAAATTTATCACAGACTTTGTGTCAAATGGTCATTTGTCTCTTAACAGCTGATTCGGAAATCATTTGGTATTACTAGTTGGTCACATGCAGAGTAATACATGTAGGTAGTTACTGGTTAGTTATCCAGGAAAGCTGTTAAGTGAATCATCTTCCATAAAAGATGACCCAAAAAATATATTTAAATCAGTATTAAAACCAGTAAAACAAAAAGGTAATAGAAATGAAAAACAGGTGCAATAACACAGGTTAGATTAAGTTACTGGAGGGACGGTTTATTAACCCTAACCGTTTCCTGCTGGGTTTGTATAAGGGCCGGAGAAATTTGCAGAGTTTTAACTGAATTTCTGTCCCTGAACTGCAAGATAAATGTAGTGCTTTTATTTTGGAGCCAAAATGGCAAAGATTTTGTCCAAATCATAGTCGGGGTTCGTACAGTCTTAAAAAGTGCTTAAATTTGAGTCTCTTTCTAAAAAAGTGCTTAAAAATGTAAAAAAGTGCTTAAAAGTCCTTGAATTTGATTACTCTCTTGAAAAGTGCTTAAAAAGTGCTTAAATTTGCTAAAAATGTGCTTGAAAATGTTTGAATCACAGAATGACATAGTTTTGATAAAAATCAACGGTTAACAAAATAAAAAAAAAGATCCAATTTAGTATCAAAATCAATGAAATGTTTACTCAAGGTAACAGTAAGTGGACAAATTGCAGTTGTTTTGAACTAATCTGTACTTGATGCACCCTTAGTTGTTCTTCTATAATGTTAGAAAATGTGTATTCAACAAAAAATGGTGAACAACTATCCATCATAGGTTGGAGATTGTGTCGGTATATGTGCAACAAATGTGCTTGAAAAATGGAAAAACCTGCTAAAGTAGTGCTTAAAAAGTCCTTGAATTTTGGCATTGGATGTCTGTACGAACCCTGATAGTAATTTTACCATCTGTCTATCTTCACAGGGGATTTTATCATCAAAATGTCATGAGGGAAGCATTTACCAGGAGTTTGAATCTCCAAAGGTCATAGTTTCTGCCATTCCATTGGAATTGGGCAGTTGTTATTTTGATTGACTAATGAATTACAAATTATGGACCCATACCTCATTGTCTAGACAATTTTCTCTTATTGTTTACAGGGAATGGTGATATTTTGACATATGAGGATTATAATATGCATAGGAAGAACTCAGCAATTAGTGGAGTAATGCTTGCTAGGTAACTCGTTATTGTTTTATAGTTTATTTGTTTATGAGGTTTATAAGGTCATTTAGAAATAAGATGTACACTAATTTTAGTTTTTTATCCCATTCAAGTTTTTGAATGTCACCTTGTGATAAAGATTTTCTCAAGGCACCTTTTTATTGACATTAATGCAAGAGTTTTTGAATTAGTGCAATACTGCAGACTGACAGACTATACATGGGGTATAGCCATGAACTTTTTAAAACAATTTTATGAAGTGTATAAAGCTTCATATTTGATGCATGTGAATTGTAAAATTATGGTTTATTTATTTTACAAGAATTCTTAACAGTATATCTAGAATGAAAAAATTGTATGTATATTTTAAAGAAAGTGGAGCATGCGTGACATCATCGACAAAACTACCAAAAATAGCAGCTGAATATTTTGTTCCATAACATTTTATTCTACATGTATTTAAATACAATAATCATGTGTATTGCAGCTTTTATAAGAAACGACATAAATATTAAAGAAACATCATATTTATTATATAAAAATATTTCATATATAGCTTTACAGCCTTTAAGTTCAAGACATATTTTGTTTTTCAGTATTTTACAGTTTGTTAGAGGATATATAATAAAAAGCTTATTGTAAACATACTTGTACATGTTCTTGCTGTATTCAACTCTCATTGACTTTTCTAGACTGAATCAAGCTATTATATTCTGAAAAGATTGCTGTTGTATTTGTATCTTAACAGTTTTTAAATGAAACATGATGGTTGTTTGTGTTTAGTTTAATTCATTTTGTTTAGTACTAAGTCACTGCAACATTATATGGTCATTTAGCGACACTCCAGCATTACTGACCTCAGTTGCTTCTTCATGCATTAAGGCACAAGCTTGCATCTGAATTGAACCATCAGTCTTGACATGGAAGAAACACAGGATATGAACACACAGTGGTGTTAACCAAGCCTTTTTATATTTTTGTTATTACCTTTATAGATGTATAATCACTTATATTTTAGAGGTGCTCTGATAAAACCATGGCTATTTACTGAGATCAAGGAACAGAGACATTGGGATATATCATCTACAGAAAGATTCGATATGCTTAAAGATTATGTTCACTTTGGTATGGATAATTGGGGCTCAGATCAACAAGGTCTTGAAATAACTAGAAGATTTTTGTTGGAATGGCTTTCATTTTTGTACAGGTGAGATTTTTAGCTCACCTGTCACAAAGTGACAGGGTGAGCTTTTGTGATCGCTTTTCGTCCGGCGTCCGTCCGTCCAGCGTCCGTCCGTAAACTTTTACTTTAAATGACATCTCCTCATAAACCACTAAGCCAATTTCATCCAAACTTCACAGGAATGTTCCTTTGGTGGTCACCTTTAAAAATTGTTCAAAGAATTTAATTCCATGCAGAACTCTGGTTGCCATGGCAACCGAAAGAAAAAACTTTAAATATCTTCTTTTAAAAAACCATAAGAGCTAGAGCTTAGATATTTGGCATGAAACATCTTCTAGTGAGTGTCTACCAAGTTTGTTCAAATAAAAGCCCTGGGGTCAAAATTGGCCCCGCCCCGGGGGGTCATTGATTTTCCCTATATGCATATAGTAAAAACTTAAAAAATCTTCTTTTAAAGAACCCAAAGAACTAGAGCTAAGATATTTAGCATGAAACATGTTCTAATGGGTGTCTACCAAGTTTGTTAAAAAAAAAAGCCCTGGGGTCAAAATTGGCCCCGCCCCGGGGGGTCATTGATTTTCCCTATATGCATATAGTAAAAACTTAAAAAATCTTCTTTTAAAGAACTCAAAGAGCTATGGCTAAGATATTGAGCATCAAACATTTTCTAATAGGTGTCTACCAAGTTTGTTCAAATAAAAGCCCTGGGGTCAAAATTGGCCCTGCCCCAGGGGGTCATTGATTTTCCCTATGTGCATATAGTAAAAACTTAAAAAATCTTCTTTTAAAGAACCAAAAGAGTTAGAGCTAAGATATTTAGCATGAAACATGTTCTAATAAGTGTCTACCAAGTTTGTTCAAATAAAAGCCCTGGGGTCAAAATTGGCCCCGCCCCGGGGGGTCATTGATTTTTCCTATATGCATATAGTAAAAACTTTAAAAATCTTCTTTTAAAGAACTCAAAGAGCTATGGCTAAGATATTTAGCATCAAACATGTTCTAATAGGTGTCTACCAAGTTTGTTCAAATAAAAGCCCTGGGGTCAAAATTGGCACCGCCCCGGGGGTCATTGATTTTCCTTATATGTGTATAGCAAAAACTTAAAAAATCTTCTTTGAAAAAACCCAAATAGCTAGAGTTAAGATATTAAGCATGAAACATCTTTTAGTGAGTGTCTACAAAGTTTGTTCAAATAAAAGAACTGGGGTCAAAATTGGCCCCGCCCCGGGGGTCATTGATTTTCCCTATATGTGTATATAGCAAAAACTTAAAATCTTCTTTGAAAAACCCAAATAGCTAGAGTTTAGATATTAAGCATGAAACATCTTCTAGTAAGTGTCTACAAAGTTTGTTCAAATAAAAGCCCTGGGGTCAAAACTGGCCCAGCCCCAGGGGTGTCATTGTTTTTAACTATATGTGTATAGTAAAAACTTTAAAAAAATCTTCTTTTAAAAAGCCCAATGAGCTAGAGCTTAGATGTTTAGCATGAAACATCTTCTTATGGGTGTCTACCAAGTTTGTGCAAATAAAAGCCCTTGGGTTAAATTGGCCCTGCAACGTTGGGGGGTGGGGGTTGGGTGGGCCTATATACAGGTGAACGACCTCAGGGCCATCATGGCCCTCTTGTTATAATTCTGGACATTTTTCAGTTATGTGTATACATTGTAGTTATGTGGTTGTCCCTTCTTTCAATTTGATTTCAATCCTTTCTTCTAAACTGCCTTCTTTTCTGACCATTTCACTAACTAACAGTGTCTTTAGTTATTAACTGATATCTTAACGTAAGACCTTCCGAAAGTTAGATATTTCCGTGACCTGCTATGTTAGGAATTGTTTCAAGGTCACTGATGTTAAAAATAGTTGAAACTTTATGTTGGCTGGGTCAAAGTCATTGATGCTAGAATAGTATTTCTCCATTTTCGTGAACTTAATGCTTGGTTGTAAGTTTGGTCACAGCAATATTAAGTATCAGTATAATTGAAAATCATTAGAAATTTCATATGTAAAGTTATGGTAATGTATGCAAAATGAGTTATTCATGTGCAAAATGACAATAATCCTTATGAAATAAGTAATTTAATATGCAATTTGTGAATTAAAAGAAATAAGTAATTTCATATGCAAAATGATGGTATATGAAGTAAGTAACTAGATGCAGCCATTTTGCAGCAAATAATAACTATACAGGCTTTTTATAGTGATTGAACCGTCCGTCCGTCCATCCGTCTGTCCGTACAAGGTTAACCTAGAACGGCAAGTTGGATTTTTCTTAAGTTCTACCTGTAGCAATGGCTTGTAAGTTTACACACTTACTAATCAATACAAAGTACATGATCTGGGCAAGTTACATAACTCTGGCTTTCATATTTACCAAGTTATTGCCCTTTTCAGCACTTAGAAAATGAATAATGGTTAACCTAAAACGGCAAGTTGGAAATATCTTAAGTTCTATCTATACTAATGGTTTATAATTTCCACACTTACTTATCAATACAAAGTACATGATATTGCCAAGTTATATAACTGTGTCATCCATATTTCCCAGTTATTTCCCTTTTTTCACTTTGACAAAAGGGCCTTGTCTGGTTAACTTATTTCAGCTAGTTGGATTAATCTTAAATTTCTTCTTATTGCTTAATTTCTTTAATGATATCTTTTATATTTGGTAGGTGGATACCTTTGATGGTCCTCTAATTTTTTGTGGAGTAAGCGGTCTCTAGGGTCAAGGTCACTGGTTTAAAAAATAAATATAAACATTTTTGCTCATACAGCCTTTATATTTTAGTTGATGTCTTAGATTAATACAAACATGCCAAGGGAGGTCCTCCTTATTTGGGTGTAGTAAGGGGTCATTTGGGTCAAGGTCAATGTTACCAATGTCAAGGTCACCAATGTTAAAAATAGATTTTTACATTTTTACAGGTGTATTGACCTTATTCTATAGACAGATGTTATTGATAGAAACATAAACTTTGATGGAGTTAGTGGTCAGTTGGGTCAAGGTCACCAGTGCTAAAAATAGATTTTTACACTTTTGCTCATACAGCCTTTATTTATTGACAGGTATATTTTATATTTGGTAGGAAGATAACTTGCATGGTATTCATCCTTTTGATATGGGTAGGGATCAGTGGGTCAAGGTCACTTGTGCTAAAAATAGATTTTTACACTTTTGCCCATACAGCTTTTATTTATTGACAGATGTATTTCATATTTGGTAGGAAGATAACTTGCATGGTATTCTTCCTTTGGATGGAGTAAGGGGTCAGTTGGGTCAAGGTCACCAGTGCTAAAAATAGATTTTTACACTTTTGCCCATACAGCCTTTATTTATTGACAGATATATTTCATATTTGGTAGGAAGATAACTTGCATGGTATTCATCCTTTTGATTGGGGTAGGGATCAGTGGGTCAAGGTCACTTGTGCTAAAAATAGATTTTTACACTTTTGCCCATACAGCTTTTATTTATTGACAGATGTATTTCATATTTGGTAGGAAGATAACTTGCATGGTATTCTTCCTTTGGATGGAGTAAGGGGTCAGTTGGGTCAAGGTCACCAGTGCTAAAAATAGATTTTTACACTTTTGCCCATACAGCCTTTATTTATTGACAGATGTATTTCATATTTGGTAGGAAGATAACTTACATGGTATTCTTCTTTTGGATAGAGTCAGGGGTCAGTTTGGTTAAGGTCACCAGTGCTCAAAATAGATTTTTACACTTTTGCCCATACAGCCTTTATTTAATGACAGATGTATTTCATGTTTGGTAGGAAGATAACTTGCATGAAGTTGAAAATTTTTCAACTTCACAAGTCAGAGCAATGACTTGGCAACTTATATTTTTCACAATTACAAAATGCCATGACTTTGTCAAGCTATATAACTTGTGTTTACAATGTTTTGGCAATTTTTCTGTCCATAACTGAGTGAATTGGTAAACATTTTTTGAAATATTTCTACTGACAAGAATCTGAGCCGGGGGCATTTGTGTTTAACAAACACGTTCTTGTTTGTTGTTGTTTTTACAGGTATATACCAGTAGGTATTTTAGAGCATGTACCTCAATTGATCAATGAAAGACCACCTTTCTATCGTGGGCGAGATGAAATGGAGACATTAATGGCCAGTCCAAATTGTGGTGATTGGGTCAAAATCAGGTAGGTGTTTAACCCTTTACCCCATATATACGCGAAACAACGCACTTTCGACCCCCCCCCCCTTTTTTAAGGCCTAAAATAGTGAAAAAATGTCCTATTTGGGCCCCAAACACATGTTTTTGTTTGAGAAATGTTGCTAAAAAAAAAAAGTGAGCACTTTTTCGGCGCCGCCCCCCATCCAAAAGATACATCAGGGGGTGGCAAAGAAAATTTTTGACTTGTGAGAGGCTAAAAATGACCCCAGGTTGATCATAAGGTAACATGTAACCAACGCTGAAAAGCCTTTGACTCTATCTCAATCCCTTGAGAAGTTGCAGCACTTTGAAATAAAATTTGATGGAAAAAATCGATGGCAAAATAGTGATTTTTGGCAATTTTGAGATGTCCCCTCGTTGCCATGGTAACAGGAAATTTAAGACTGAGCATGTCATTACAAAGGCAATTATGCTCCAGTCAACATTTGTGCCAAGTTTGATTAGTATTGAAGCATTTTTCATAGTTTCATAGCAGTTTGAACTTGTAACAGGAGGCTTTTCAGTGAAAACGGCCATTTTTCACAATATGCTCATGAGGGAAAGGGTTAATAACAGATTAATGTGAAATAATAAATGCTTTTTTTTCCTGTATTTAAGTTGGTTTTTTTTTGTAGTTTTGTTGATAGTATGCATAAACGCATAGAGAATCCAGTAGCATTTGTTAGGTATCATCTAGATTTGCTAGTGTTTGCTCAAATGATGATAATGTCATCTTACTCCACCCTGATATACATGTATTAAAACTATTCTGCCACTGTTAAAAACACTGCCTAAAGCTTTTACCCTGGAGCTAAATATTCCAGTCAGTACTAGTAGCCAGAGTAAAGTTTCTTTGACTGTAAGACCTGGCATTAGACCGTGATTGTCAATAAATGAGCCGTGTCACGACAAAACATAATGTGTTTGCAACCAGCATGGATCCAGACCAGCCTGCGCATCTGGGCAGTCTGATCAGGATTCATGCTGTTGGCTTACAGACCCTATAACAAGTAAAGAAACTGATAGCGAACAGCAAGGATCCTGATCAGACTGCGCGGATGCGCAGGCTGGTCTGGATCCATGCTGGTCGCAAACCCATTATGATGGTTTTGTTGTTATGCGGCTCAAATAATCATGTAAAATCCAATGTGTGGATGCACAAACTTCTTGCCAATTTAATCAGGAAAACTTACAACTCTAGATAAGATGTTAATATGGTTACATTGTTTCAAAGTAAAGTTGTTAATTTGATATGACTGAGAATGCAATATCAGATTTGGTTAGCCCTTAGGTTACTGGGTGCTAATTAGAGTATATATAATTATAATAACAGGAATCTTCCATAGGAAACAAAAAATTTTTTTACCCTCCGTCTGTCTGTCTGTCTGTCCGTCTGTCTGTCAGTCCGTCAGTCCGTCCGTCCGTCCACAAAACTGGATCCCGCGATAACGCAAAAAGTACTGAAAATATTTTTATGAAACTTGATATATGGATAGATGGCAGTATGGAGATTATGCACGTCTTTTCCCTTTCTTCCTATGTTGAAAATTCTGGTTGCTATGGCAACAAATAGTCTGAAAATATAGTAAATTTAACACATAAACTGGATCCAGTGATAACTCAAAAAGTACTGAAAATATTTTTATGAAACATAAAATATGGGTAGATGGCAGTCTGCAGATTATGCACATCTTTTTCTTTTCTTCCTATGTTGAAAATTCTGGTTGCTATGGCAACAAATAGCCTGGATTTCAAGATTTCTGATTTAATTTTTTCAGCTTTTTCACTATAAGTTCTTTATTTCTTAAGGTGTTTACTTCAAACTTTAAATATAAGTTTCTGGTCATCAACCACATCATATGTGACAAGGTTTATAACTCTAGCACAAAAATTATCAGTATTACCTCCCTTGAACTTAGAATTTTTATGGAAAAAAATGTTGTCTTTTTTAAATAACTTCTTTATTTCCTAATGTATCTACTTCAAACTTCATATATATGTTTCTTATTATCACTCAACATTTTTGAGAAGGTTAAATACTCTAGCAAGACTATTTCCAGAATTATGTCCCCCTTGAACTTAGATTTTTTTCGAGAAATTGGTATTTTTTACTCCAACTTCTTCATTCCTTATAAGATTTACTTTAAAATCCCACATCGTAATAAAATGACAAGGTTGTATAAACATAATTGCCTTACTAGGCAGGGAAACTTAACACTTTACTGTGAAATAGACAAACTTAGAACCTCAAAAGATTTAAGTTCATTCATGTCATTCATTCACTGGTAAAATTGAAATCAGAATGTTGCTGGGGTTCTAACCGGTAGGGGACTTATGGATTGCTTGCAATACTATGATAATTGCTTGTTTCTTATTCTTTACTTCATGTGTAAAAAATTGTTTAAAAACATAAGACCAACACTTAAATGTACGAAAATGGACAAATATATGATTTCAAATTTAAACCAAAAGTATGATATAAATGAAAGTTAGCAATAAAGGTATAGATGTCAGACAAATACAGTCAGTGAAAAGGGTGTCTAGTAGACAGGAAAACAATTCTGTCAGTTGGACAGGTATATCTATTTTGTAGACAAATGCACAGTACTTGGAGTGGGGCAGTTTTACGTTTCCTGTAGGCAAAATAAGCACTGTACTGTCAGTGTAACAATCTTGTAGGTAAATTAAATGGTACTGTGTTTAGGACTATAGTATAAATTGTAGGTAAATACACTGTGCTTGTTTGTTGTTGGGTTTTACGTCACATTGTCACAGTATAGGTCATATCGCGACGTTTCAGCTTTACTGGTGGAGAAAGAACTCAGGTGCCCCTGCGTGCATTATTTCAGGCACAAACAGGCACCTGAGTAGAACCACCGACGCCCCGTAAGCTAGCTGGATAGCTTCCTCACATGAAAGAATCCAAGTCCCTGGCGGGATTCGAACCCACAGCAGTAAGGGGCAAGTGGTTTGAAGTCAACGACCTTAACCACTCGGCCACGAACGCCTCTTGTAGGTAAATACACTGTGCAGTCAGTTGGATGGGTATCCCTGTATTGTAGGCAAATTTAATTATATATGAGTGGTTTAGCTGTACCCATCTTCTTGTGAGCAATAGAGTTAATGTAAATCATATGTTTACAATGATGTATTGCTTACAATCAGTATTTCACTTTGATACAATGGTGCACTTTTGACAAGGTAGCATATTCTGCATGGCAATATTTTTATTAAAAATTGCTGTAGAAACACTGTAAAAACAAATATCCAAAAATTAAAGTCTTTTTGCCAGTTTTCATCATATTGAGTAAATTATTAATAATTAATTCATAATTACTATACTATAAAAATAATGGCACCATTGTCTTAAACTGTTGTTTACATGTATTTTCAACATTATAAATCACGCCTGTGAACATTTTTTTATGATAATTGAGTAACATGATGTTTGATACAATATACATAAGTTATATGGTTATATGGCCCCATATAAATGGATGTTTGTATATATAACCCAATCTATAAGGCGAGGTTTATATTGCAAATAACCGTTTATATACATCTATATAACCAGTTAAGAATCTTTATAATAAATTTATTATACAGCAAACTTTCTTCATGGGAGAAAAAATGAAATTACTTTATAAATTGACAACAGCTGTGTATATAGATTATATAAACATCACTATTATCCAATGAAAAACAACATTACAAACATGCAGTATTATAAATATATAATGATTCATTTTCTGAATGATTTATTTCAGTGAGATGCTGCTAGGAAAAGTACCCGATGGTTTCACCTTTCTACCGAAACACAAGGCAAATGCATATAAATAGTGGTCATAACCATCTGATGTATTGTGCAATTAAATGAATGTGTATTGCATAGTGCTAATAGGCATTACAAAAATAAGAATGCCACTAGTATTGAAACTGTATCTGTTCAGTGAAGACAAATTACAGACAAATAATATTGGTCACTTTATTTCTAGTTATTTTGATAATGAATACTCACTCCAATTATGAGAGGTCCATTACACAGTCTGTAGTGTAAGAGTTTAAACATGAATTTTATAGGAATCAATTAGATTGTACTATTTTCTGGTAAATTTTGAACAATCATCTCAAGAATGGTCCTTTGGTGGCCTATTACAAAATCAGTCTGATGTATTTATAAGTTGGTCATAGGTGTTAACAATGGACCTATCAAACTCCTTCTCAGAAACTGCAATGCCCAGAACTTAGATTTATGGCATGTAGAACTATCTTTTGGTCTTGTACAAAAGTTTTATGAAAAGCAAATGAGTAATCTTCATGATGGCCTATTTGATTTACTTATTCAGTTTTAAAATCCTTAAAATGTTATGCTGACAACCTTTGTCCCCAATGTATAAATATTTGTCAGCTGCCAGGCATGTTGTCTTATAAGGCTTTTTAACTTTAGGCTGACTTTCTTCAAATTTTCCTCTTAACATGGCAAAGATTTAGTTTGACTTTTTCATACATAATAGCAATTCCTTTCAGGATATTCAGCAGAGTGAATGTTTAAATTGAAAAATATAGATATAATAAAAATTATTATTTCAATTATGACTACCAGCAACTGAGACACTGAAAGGTTTCTATATTTCTACATCATTTATTAATGTTAATTGTGATCTCTTGAATAACACTTCATCAGTTGTCTCCCCTGATCATGAGAACATAAATTTTTGTATGCTAATATCATTACATATGTTACATCATGAACAAATTGACTTTTTGTTTGTAAGTAAAATCATGAACACATAGAGTTTTGTGTGTTGAGATAAGTTAAATCATGGACACATTGACTTTTGTAAGTCGACATTCTTACATATGAAGTTAAATAATGAATACATTGATTTTTGTACATGTATGTTGACAATTCTTTATAAATGTTTACAACTACCAGTCGGTACTTGTGAAGTTTGTGTAAAATCTGAGAAACGTTTTATATCATTAAACATGAACACTATCAACTTTATGTGCTAGAATTATTTAAATTTATTTGTTAATTGATTTTTGTTAATATTTATACTAAATTTAAATTGGAATTCTTCAGTTTAAATTCATACATCATTCTTATAAGCAATAAGCACAAAAAATATTTTGTCAGTCTAAAATATGTATACATTTGATATTGAAATTAAATACTTTGAAATACTAAACTGAATAGTTTAGTTACAGGTTGTTAATTATGATGTGAAAAATTACAAGAATAATTTGTATCTATAAAACATAGTTGTTTATTTGTATATTCACCCTCCTCCACTCTATGATAATGAGAGTGCAATTCACCAATTCTACTATGATAAATGTGCATGGTTATAAGTGTCGGTCACTTAAATCTTGGTGATTCCCTAACTAACCACCATTTTCTTGACGAGTTGCAGAAATGCCAACCATTACAAGTCATATGTTATCTGTACGACCAAGGTTTCAGGCTCCAAGGTCAAGTTTATACTAAAGGTTAAATCTGGGTCCGTTCAAATCGGCAGTGAGAGACAAATGGCTATTTGACGAAATGTCCAATGGATTTTAGACGTTTAGTTTTTGTGGTCATTTCTGTCTCGTCTCTGATTTAGAAATCATGAAGGATTAGTAGTCAGTCACTTGCGAATAATTTTGTAAACCATCAGTCACATGGGATGATTATTGGTAATTACTGGTTCATTATCCATGATAGCCGGTTAGGTGGACAACTGCCTAGATGATACCAACAATTTGTTAAAATCGGCACACATCGATGCATTTTGAGCTAGCAAACATAGTTAACAATTTTAAAATATTTAAATATTAAAACAATAAAGTTCACAATGGCCTGTGCCAAATTCATTGAAGGCCAGTCAATAATTCAGCCCCAATCTACCTAACTACCTAGTCCTTTGCCTTGGGGGCACATAGGGCAAGGACTATAGGGTTCTCCATGTGTCTGTCCCATTATGGTATATTTATTGCAACGAAACCAAAAGGAAATTATCACATGGCACTAAGTGCTAGCAATACAATAGATGTTTTTCGTTGCAAGCCATTATGTCATGTGTAGCACAAAATCTTAACTGAGATGTATTATGCATGAGATGTGTCACTCATATGCATGACACATACACGAAGGACCAGGACTTTGGAAAAAGATACTATTAGAAAATGCGGAACAGCTGGACCTGGATTTTAACTCTGACCAGTATGGTTGCTACCACTACACTAGAAAGTCTCAATGCAGTCTATGATCAATTAAAACTGCTGTGCTATCCATACAGACACAACTTACCTTTTCTGGAGCGCACTTATCCATGTTATATTTACAACGGTTCCGAAATAAATAAACTTCACCATTAGATCAGTTGGTTGCGGGTTATTGTTCGCTTGTTAATATTTTATCAGCCATCGACTAATGCGAATTATATATTTGAGAAAATATATTCAAAGACAGAAAAGGCCGCAACTATCATGAGGCTGTGATGTTACGAAAAAAAATTATCCACTGACCATTAATGTTGAAAATTTAACTAAGTCGGTAAACGGGAAGTGAATGAGCAACAGACCTGAAATCAAATCCCACGGTATGGGACCACGTGTTGATACTGTATACCAAATATCAAGTGGCTGTGATAATAGTTGATGAGAAAACTGTTACGAAAATTTCCTATCATTGACCATTAATGTCGGAAATTTAACTAAGTCAGTAAACAGGAAGTAGATGAGCGGCAGACCTGAAATCGAATCCCACGGTATGGGTTCACGTGTAAATGCTGTATGCCAAGTATGAAGAGGCTTTTGAAGTAGTTGTTGAGAAAAATGTCACGAAAATGTTTTTACCGCCCGAAATCCACCATACTATAACCTGGTTGCACCTGTGCAACCCGCCCAAAGATTATGTCTATAAAAAAAGAAGGAAATATCTTCGTTATCCAGTTTAAAATTGACATTTTTGTGTCGCCTCTACGGAGTAGTGGCGACATATAGGGATCACTTCTCCGTCGTCTGTCTGTCTGTCCGTCACAAAACTTGTCCGGACTACTCCTCATAAACTACTGGTGCAATTTCATCCAAACTTTACAGGAATGATCAGTACCAAGTCTAGTTGTGCATATTGTCAGCATTTTCCGGTTCAATGATTTTTGGCAGAGTTATGGCCCTTTAATAATTTTTAATTTTAAAGTTTGTCCGGACTACTTCTCTTATACCACTAATGCAATTTCAATGAAACTTTACAGGATTGATCTGTAGCTCAAGTCCTTGCGCATATTGCAAGGGTTTTCCGGTTGAATGATTTTTGGCCGAGTTATGGCCCTTTGATAAAAAAGGTGTTTTTTCTGTGTGTTGCCAGATACGCAAAAGCTTGTCCGGACTACTCCTCATTAACTAATGGTGCAATTTCATCCAAACTTTACAGGAATGATCAGTACCAAGTCTAGTTGTGCATATTGTCAGCATTTTCTGGTTCAATGGTTTTTGGCAGAGTTATGGCCCTTTAATAATTTTTATTTTTAAAGTTTGTCCAGACTACTTCTCTTATACCACTAAAGCAATTTCAATGAAACTTTACAGGATTGATCTGTAGCTCAAGTCCTTACGCATAATGCACGGGTTTTCCAGTTGAATGATTTTTGGCCGAGTTATGTCCCTTTGATAAAAAGGTATTTTTTCTGTGTGTTGCCAGATACGCAAAAGCTTGTCCGGACTACTTCTCATAAGCTACTGGTGCAATTTTATCCAAACTTTACTGGAATGATCATTACCAAGTCTAGTTGTGCATTGTCCGTCTGTCTGTCCGTCTGTCACAAACTTTGTCCCAACATAAAATTGGCCATCATGAGGCGACACATGTGATTACTGATCGCTCTTGTTATATAGGAAGTTTTACCTTCAGCAAGCTGTCCAACTCGTACCAACACATTAAAAGGTCATATGTTGACTTACGAAACATCACAGTTTTCGCATGGAACCTGCAAATTTTATTTCTGTGCATATTTATTAACTGTAAACCAACATGTTGATGTTTTAGACCCGTTTTATGTGAGAGAGTAAGTTTATGTATTGATTTTACGTGCATCTTTAGTTTCTCATATTTACAAGTATTTTACTTTCTGACTAAAAGATCATGTATGTTGAATTAAAGGTTGTTACCACATTTCAGTGATGGTGATTTTATATATACTATATAACTATATGCTTCTAAAACAATTTTCAAACATCGAAGAATATGTAAAATATGTACTGCAAATATTTGTTCACATTATATGTAATCATTAAAATATATGCATTCATTTCTTATTGAAAAAATTGACTTAGACTTTATATAAAATAAATTTCTATTTACCTCCCTTTATTAACATGAAATGTAAATTCGAAACAACGGTTTTTGGAACTTTAAATATTGGTAAATCTTCATTTGAGCATTATATTTATGATATAAGACCATAAAAAAATGAGTTGTTGTTTTTACTGACTTGATGTGTGGTTTTTACTCGTAAAAGAATTAAAATAAAACGTTTAATTGTTTGCCGTATAATTTCAAATATTCAATTATCATTATGCCAGGAGAGCGCTACACCAATTTTAGATTTTGATTTATTTCCCATGAATATTTCTGTAATTTAAATGGGTTAATACTCAAATATGCTGACATTTTACTAGAAACTAATTAAAAACGTTAATAGTTCAAGAATAGTACTCTTTAATTTACAGAAATATTTGCTGTTGAATGCAATTGCCAATTAAAAGTGACTCTCAAAAGATACCCCTGGTAGTTGACCATTTGACAATGCAATTGCCTAGTGCCATATAACTTAATTCATAATTGGAATAGAGTATACTGTACTGTTTCTTGGACATGTTGTTGTATAATTTTAAGTTACATGTGTACTAGTATACGTAAATAACTTCGGATGACGTCAATTGTTCTTTGCATGAGGTCCGTTTTCCAGAACTTGTTAATAAGATTTGTTGAGGAACACGAGTGCAGATGAAGTTTACTATGTAGGTTTAACATTTTGTTGACAATTATAGTCGGATGATAACGGAGATTGCAGTCGAAAATCTCAGTAGATACTAGGTCACATGCATAAAATGCATGCTACCTAGTATCTACTGAGATTTAAGTGATTTAGTAGACCTTCGGTAGACGTCAGGGAAAAGGGTATCGATACGTAAATATCTAATAAGTACAACAGAAACTTTTCGTGGTACTACCATAAATGTCAAACTTCTTATAGGTAATATTTGATATTTATTTGAATTGTATACACATAATTTCTTTGATCTTGATAGAAAACAACTGTTCTGAAAACAATGCCTTTGTAAATACTTGACTGTTTACAAAACTAGTGTTATTTTAAATCGTCACATTCAAGTCATTTTTTTATCATCAAGTATTTAGAATATAAACATCATCATGATTTCTAGCGAAACTTGTCTCAATTGTTTTCTACATTAAAAAACAAAACAAAAAAACTTTTTGCATCGTACGTGATAAGCCGCTGATTTTGCAAACAAAAATCCACGATGTGGTTGTCTCCGATCATCTTTTATTTCAAAAATGATTTTCTTCCAAAATCAATGACATTAAATGCTTAAATTTTTTTTTTTATTATTATTATTATTATTATTATACCAAACTTTTAAAGCACACTTTTTATATACATGTATTTCGTGCATACGTTCTAGAAAAGGCGCCGTACAACGATAATAAATTTAATAAACAACATACATCAAGAAACAAACTATAAAAACTTTATACACAAATCATTCTAAGAATATAAAATATTTGAAACAGAAACAGTTACAATTAAGATATAATAAAATTATCAAACATAAAAGCGATCTTGGGTATATATATTTAGAACAACCTTAATAAATGAAAGCAAACTGTCGCTTAAGATTAATGAAAGCACACGTAAAATACGAGTATATGCTTCATGAGTCGCCATGTTTCACTATGTTCCTTTTCTAGTTATGTTTGGTATGCCAGTTCAAACAAGTGTGTTTTAATGATTTTTTGAAATAGTCCAAAGTCTCAGTTTCTTTCCGACTTGATGGTAAAGCTTTCCTTAGTTTGAGCACTTTGGAAGTACAAGTGTTGCTGCTTCACATTTTTATTTCGGATCTATCCTTGGTTCGTACACTCCACGCAACTCGTGAAAATAGGCTTGTACTTGTCACTGCGCTTGTCCATGTAACGTTTTGAAAGTGAGACTTCGGGATCATTGATGCCAGCACTATTAAGTG